TTTTCTTTATTTTTCGAAATGCTATTTTTAAATATATATATTTCTTATGAGTGTAGTTGCTGTTGTGTCGCTGGATGTTGCTGCTGTTGCTGCCTGATGTTGCTGTTGTGCCTGGCGTTGTTGTCGTGTTTTAGGCAAACAAACGATCAGCAAGTGGCGCTCCTCAAAAACGTTTTTGTGCCAAAATGTTTGCTGTATGGCGAAGTGAAGAAGACCCATCGGTGGGCAGAGTTTAGGAGTTTTGGGAAAAGGCAATGTTGCTGCTGAAGGGTGACAAAAGTCGCCGTCTAATTGAATTAACATAAAATAAAAGTTGTCTCGACAAAGCGCCAAGCTCAACATCCTGGTCAGCGCATTAGCCATTTGGCATTTGGGCTCAGAATCTCTGGCCAGAAGAATCACGAACAATGAAGACTGAGCGGCGGAAAGCTCATTAACATGATCACAATGAAGATTCGACTGCATAATAATTCGCACATATTCCGACATTACGAAAAGTGCATTTGTATGGGCATGCAATTAGTCACAGAGACCGCAGCATCTGCAAGTTGGAGCGCCGGATTCTTTACCGCCCGCCACTATCCACCATCCACCGACCGTCCCATTCATTCCCATAATTTACCAAATATTTCTTCTTTATTTTTTATTATTTATTTTCCTATTTCGCCTCTATGTACATGGCATAGCAACTGCAATGACTATAACATTTTCTCACGTTTCGTCGTGCAGATTTCGGCACAAGTTGCGCCTTGGTGTGGCCGATCCAATGCCTGGGATGGTATGAGATCTTGGTTGCCAATTGCAGCGCGGTGGCTCTGTGGCACTACGGTACGGCTCCATCGTTCCATGGTTCCATGGTTCCATGGTGATAATGATGATGGTGGCGAGGTCGCTGGATCGGCGGAGGCGGGCGACTAATGCACATTTTATGCAAATTTCGGCTGCGAGATCCCCGTGTGTTGGCTTTGCTTATGGCAGCTTAAGTCGGTTTACGAGTGCCAGTAAATGCAATTTAGAATGCTTGAATCTATTGACTGTCAATAGGCGCAGGTACTAAACCTGTTTGCATTTATGCTTTGTAAAGTTTAATTCGCAAATTACATTCTTTTGTTTTATTTTTATCATCACATAAGCAGAATTTATTACTGGGAAGCCTTTTTATTTAATTTAGTGGAACTTGTTTAAAAACTATTTTTTTCGGATTTTTGTAAGCAATTAAACCAGTTTATGCTCGTTTGGTAGGCCACGAAAATTGTACGCTTTTTCTGAGGATGCTTTTAAGCTAATTGCACTTTATGTGAATTTATTTATGTGAGTGAATGCCATTTAAAATATTACAGTTTTCAAATGAGTTAAAGTTAATAGTTTGGTTATGCTGTTTATTTTTTAAAATTAAAATATTTTATGTAAATACTGTACAGTTTAAAAGTGCAGCATATAATTATGTTGGGTGGATCAAGTTCGCTGTCTAAGTCATTCGTTTTTATGGATGCTTGCAGAATTTACAAATCTAAAGCATCACGACAGTGCGTCAAATTAGCCAGGCAGTCCGCTCACTGACCACTGTCCGAGTGCCTAACTGACCCATTCCATTCCACTCCAATCAAATCCAATCCCAGCGAGCCGCCGAGCTTTGGTTTCGCAAGCGGCGTCGCATCCATAAAACTGTAAATTGCACAGCTGCGTCTCCATCTCCATTTGCGGCTGTCGCTGCCACGTGCAATCCCCGAAAACCAAAAAGCGAATATGAATCCGAATCCTCATCCCCGAGTCCGCAATGCATCCCAATCTCCGCCAGCCGATGCGAAATTATATGTGTGTAAATACATTTATATGTACCTATGCAATTTCTTATTATGAGCGGTACGCTGCCGTCAAAGGTTTTCCGAGAGCTGCACTTTATCAACGGGAAAATCTGCTGGCAGCCCATGCTCATTGCTGCACAATTACTCAACGACCTGGGTTTCCAATTCCCGCTCGAGTCCCAATCGCAATCCTCGACACTCGTTAGTGCAGGGAGAAAAAAGATCATTTCGAAATTAAAGGGGATCGAGATGATATGCTTCTAATCAAGTTGAACTTTTTTATATTTCTTGAAGATTTATTGAGATAATTACTAATTTAACTACTTTTATGGTTAGTATTTTATTCAGTGGATTTGAATGAAACACACTAACACTCGTTAATGCAGGGAGAAAAAAGATCATTTCGGTATTAAAGGGAATTTAAATGATCTGCCTCTAATAAATTTGGATATTTTGTATATTTATTAAGATAATCATTAATTTAATTACTTTTATGATAACTATTTGGTTCAACCGATTTTTCTTTCTGTGTAGTTGCCCCTTCAGCTGCACCAGCTTCTGCCAGGTTTGTGGCATTTTTTGGCGCGTTGCTGGATGGATGGGATGGGATCGAGATTCGCGAGTCGAGAGTCTGCTCAGGCGCATCTTCAACTTAATTGAATTTTTGGCTGCTGTTGTTGCTGCCGCTGCTGCTGGTGGTTGTGAATGCATTTTCCATTTTCCACCGGCTCCCACACGTTGTGCAAATGCTTTCGGCACTTTTACTGCGCTCCGTGCTTACATAATGAGTAAAAATTAAATAATTTACCCCGCCAATGGATTCTGGCGTGTACTTCGGCTTGTAGCTGCCAGGTGGAACACCGAATTCGTGTCTTTGGCGGCGAGCACATTCATCAATGTCAGGCGTGGAGTCCGAGGCCGTTCGAGCAGCGAATAGATGGCTATTTAATTGAAAGTGGCCGCTAATTAGAATCCAATCCGCTTAGCTGCCTGGGTGCTGTGTAATGCCCAGCGACAGATCGTGTCGGGCCTCATCTTCGAATAACAATTGCTGTTGGGATTTTGGGAGCTGGTACCTAGCTCTTGGGCACTTCCTTATTGCTGGCCTTTCCCACGCAGAGGGATCGCGTGAGTCATTGGCACACACAGGAGTTGGATCGTAAAGCGAACAAACATTTATTACAAACAGCATTGCTGGCTATTGCACAATCGCAATCGGCAGCAAATTAGAAAGATGGCGGCCACTTCCCACAGCTCTTTGGGCAGATGGCTCAGCTCCGGGTTGAAAGTCATCCTCCATCCTCCAACCTCCAGTTGACATTTTTTCGCCAGCTGCTGATCTGCATGACTTTGGCTGCCTGGCCTTTTTCCGGCAGGCAACCTCAACTTTGAAATGCCAAGCAGTCAGTTGGTTTTAGTTCAGCTCATTTCGGTTCAGTTCCAGGCAACATGACAGCTTGAGGTTGTTTGCCACCACAATTCCTGGGCTGCGAATATAGAAAATCTAGGCAGCAACGCCCAAGATCCGCCAAAGATCTGGCCAAAGCAGCAGGCGTGTAAATTCCCACACTGCAGCGCAAATGCCGTGTAGCCACAGCCCCCGCCACCCGGAATGCCCCCCTGCTCCGCGGAGCTCCGTGCCACACTCACCCATATACACATAACCGGATTGGCGGTGGCACCGCGACTTTTGCCCCGACATGGCAGCCGCAGCAGCAGCGGCAGATGGGGCAGCAAATGACAAAGCCCCGCCACGGCTATGACATAATACCCAGCGGAAGATGCAACCAGCGACGAGCAACGAGCGAACTGAGAGCTGCACTTGCACTGAAAAACGAAGATCCTCGAAGGGCGGTTAAAAATGTAAAAACAATATTGCGGTAAGATAGATCTAAACAATTCTATGAGTTCTATCAAAAGAATGTTCTTTAAATATTGTAATTGGAAATTAAACAGATCTAATAAATATAGGTGGTGTAGTTAATATCTGTTAGTTTAACAAATAACATTTCTTGGTTTCTCACTTAAGGAATATTTAAAAAAAAAAGCTATCTAAATATTTAAAAAAATGGTATATTCGAAATAAAAGATTTTTTGATTGAAAATGTTTCTCTTTCTATTTCTAGTATAAATCGTATGATAATTAAATTTTTGTTTTATAAATTAGATTCAACATTTGTGTCCTAAAAAGTTGATAAATCAATTTAGCAAGGTGTTAAAATTTCGCCTAGTGTACAGCGGGTGAAATTGATGTGGGGGTCGTTGGTCGGGCGGGGGAGCGCTTGCCCATAATCATGAGCAGGCCCTGCGGCCAGCTGACGTAAGTGATGAGCGCCAGCGACTCCTGGCAGGCGGAGTATCGCGGACAATGCAACTTGCTAGGTGTCATATGGTCACACGCTGCGTATGCGTAATTTGCGTTAAGCATACGACAGCGAGCCGCGATCAAAAAGGCAGCAGAACCAAGAAGCAGTGGAATCACAAAACGGCAAAACGAACGTCAGACGACCACGAAGATGCTAGACGAAGCTGGAGCGCTGCCGACGTCGACGTTGCACAGTGGGCATCTAGTCAATAATGATGAATAAAAGCATTCGTATGGCAAATTGTTTTGTGTCAAAGGGAAAAGAAATATTTTATTTATTGATTATTAAAAAAAACTTTTATTAAATTGTGTAAAACAATTACTACTGTGCTAAAAATGTTTTTTATTAACAAAATAATTATTACACAAAGAATGGAATATCGGATAAAACAATGAAGATATATGAACCGAAACCAGGACACAATTTTCTTTTTTATGGGAAAAACAATTTTAACTAATTAAATTCTTATATTTTTTTACTTTATTATTAAGAATGTTCAAAAATCGTAACTTTATATTGTTTAAATAATATTTCCAATGAAATCTATTCTTTATAAATAAGACTGAATGTAGTTTTGTACATTTTGTCCCCACTGTCACTGCGGCTGCTGCCTTGTAAGCCGCGCTGCGATGGGCTCCAAGTGGTTTTCCTTTCGCTTTCAGAAATCATTTCGCTTCGACAACGTGGACGATAAAGTCACAGATCGCGCATCGCGAGCCCGCTCTGTCCGCTGAACTCGCCTGGTTCGCCTGTCTCCTCCGGTCGGTTGGTGGTTGCTTTTCAGTGGCTTGTGGATTGTGGCTTGTGGTTCTTCTGCCGCCGCTTGGTGCAGCTGTGACTCTGTGCTTTTCCGCTGTTTGCCCAGCCAAGTGCGGCAGACGCAGACGTCTCTCAACGTTTCGCTGCACCTTCTAAATGGGCTTTCCGTAGTTTTCGCACCTTGCGAAACACATTTCGTACGCATTTACATACAAGATCGAAGTTTGAAGAATTTTGCCCTGGCGTCTGCTCATTTCCTACATGACGGACAACTTTTTGTGGCATATTCGCCATGGAAATGAGTTGCTCGATGGTGATGATTTTCGCGTTGAGTTAGTGAAAAAAAAACATAAGAAACAAAACAAAACGTAACAAAGAAACAAACATATTGTGCAGCTCGGGGCGTTTTGCAATCAAGTCCCTTCCAATACTCATAAGATTTCTGGTGTTGTGCCCTCTTGTTTTGCAGTGCGATCCATGTGAAAATCGACATTTACTATCAGCTTAATTGCTCTGGATAACTTATTGGATATCATCCTGATTTTGGATTATAAATACTAATACGACATGTTGAGCATTGAAAATGCAATGATTGCCTTTCTTCTGGGTAAGTAAAATTCTTTATTTTTAAAAAAGGTCCTTGCAGGACATTTTTTTTTAAAGTCAAATAGTAACTTTCTTGAATGCATGGATTTATTTAAGGCAGGAATATTTTTTCCATATTATTTTCTTAAGTTTAAATGCATTTTTTGTTAGTGCTTTACTCGATTTTTTTTTAATAATCAGATTTGTTTACAGTGGGAAAATCTTTACGTCATTCTTAAATATTAATTGTGGTTTTCTTATTCATTTACTTAAAGAAATATAATTACTTAAAGTTGTTTTAATTTCGAAGGGAACAATAGGTAAAAGCGAAATTTATTTTCAGAAAAAATTGAAAGCAGAATATGGGTTAGGCATTTGCAAAAACTTAGATATTAGATATCGATTATTGGATCGACTTTCTAATCATTTTCATTCCACTAAAAACACCAATGCTGCGCACATTGTGTTTTAATAAAAAAGATGCCAAATCGGTAAAAATAAAAAATCGCATGCTCATTAGTTTTTGTTTTCGAACATGTTTCATGTAGAAACGGTGCGCTGGTTCAAGGTCCATCGCGAAAGAAATTAATGGGATTCAATGGGTTTCATATCGATCACATTTGAAATCAAGCGTAATTTGCCCGACAGCCCCCGCAGCAGGGCGAAATGAAGACAAGGCTGAGAAATGGCAATTACGGCTAAGAGTGGGTCATCAGCAAGCATAATTACCATACTGTAGATTATCTCCATCTTTTCGGTAAGAGTTGGAGTGGGACAACGCCCAAAAACGGTGGCTTAAGGGGATTTGAACTGCGTGAGAGCCAGAGTCAGGCCAAAGTTTTGACCAATTTGTAGCTTCACTTCGGCAACCGAGCAATTGAAATCGGAATCGAACAATCTGCACTGGAGGGGGCAACAAAAGAGCTGCCTTGGATGCCTTTGCCTTTGCCCCATGCCATCTGCCCAGTCATAGTTCACTGCCAAACAATGGACCTCTCCGCTGGGGAGGAAAGTTGTGTTCGAAATTCACTTGAATTAAATGCGAATCAGAGTCGAGTTACCGCCGCAGCGTCTTTCATTTCTTCCAACTCTGCTGGATGGCTTGTTTTCTCTTTGTTTTGCATTTGGGGTTTCCTTTAACAGTTTTTCTTTTTCGGATCTGCTGTGTTTTTTTTCTCTTTTGGCATGATAAATGGGGGCGCACTGGAGGATTATGCAACCTGCGACTGCAATTTACGGCCAGAGAAGAGGAGCTTTGTTCTGCAGTTCGCCATGGCAATTACACTTGCCTTAATTGCAGCGAAACCATCTTCCGCTGTCTTAAGAACAGCAGCTTTACAGAACGGGGGAAAAAAATGTATATAAAAAGTCATAGACAACAATGATACATTGTACAATACGGGGGTAATTAGGCGGACCCCTGACGCTGTTTTGCTTTTAATGCTTTCAAGCCTAATGTACAGTGTACACATGTAAGACAAGCTTAATCCGTAATATTGATTGACTTGGCATTTTAATTGAGCGACCCCCATGTGCCCAGTGGATCCGTTTGTGACCACAATAAGTACCTACACATACGATCACTGATCACATATCGTCTGGCCGAAATGTTAATGATGTCGCTCGGCATCGCAAATACCAATCGATGCTCCGAAAAAGTAAATAAAAAGCCGTCTCGAGCACTCGCAGAACCGAGCTAACATAGTGGCTCCGCAGCCTTGGACCGCAGCAAGTGCTCCGTGCTCCGTGCTTCGGCACACATAAATCACGAGCTCGTCTCGCAGTTGTAAGCGAAAGTGATGCGGCCCGAAGGTCACTTGACCACCAGGTCACCATCATCGGTTCCCACTAAATACCCATTCGTCTGCATTCTAGCACTACTCGAGGTGCCATTTGAAGACCAGTCCTAACCAGATCACGATTTCTGACTTTGTTTCTCTTGTTTCCCCTCTTTGCAGCGACGACACTTTGCTGTGGATCCGGACTCGCGCAGGCCCAGTTGCTCGACGAGGACGACGACCTGGCCTTCGGCAGACCATGGCCCACCTACAGTCTGCAGAACATGCCGAAGACGCAGTTCACCTGCCACGACAAGATCCTCGGAGGCTACTACGCCGATCCTGAGACGCAGTGCCAGATGTTCCACGTCTGCGTCAAGCTGCCCGGAGTGGGGGTAAGTGTTGTTGTGCCCGGGTGCAAGTGCTTCTGGCCGAGATCAAGGCAGCAGTGGGTTAAAGCCATGAATAGCTATCGTAGACGGTCGATCATAAATATTTATAACCTGTTTAGTATTTTATTAGGACTATTAGTTTATTCTTTTCTTACGATTGGTAAACTTTAATTACTATTCAATTTAAAATAAATGTAGAAATCCGAAAAGAACATAATAACATAAGGTCAAATAATACTGAGCTTAGAATTTCGGGGTTATTTTTGGGAAATTTGATAGTGCTAAATGCTTAGGCCAGGGAATTTTTCCATCCATTTACTCCTTCCCCAGCCGCCCTTCCACATTTCACAGCCTTAAACTGGCGGGCAAAACGAAAGACTTAGGCAACGAACTTGCCGACAGCCATCGTTTCGGTTCCGTCGCGCCAGCTAAATGGCAAAGTGGCACAGCCAGATGCGCTGGGGAATGTGTGAGATGGCTCCGAGTGGTTCGTGACTGGTCCGGATGGACTGGCTGACCTTTAAGCGGGTGCTTCGCGTGGCCTCTTCGCTGGGAGACGAGTGCAAAGAGCGCTAGACTCTGGGCTCTTCCACTGGGTCTAGACTCTTCTGCAGCCCTTCTTCTTCGTCCTCCTGCGGCATCCGGGCCGCCTTCCTGTGGCACCACCGCTGCATCGCCTGGCAGATGGTCTCGAACATCTCGGACAGCTGATGCCGCTGCACTTGCTCCTGCTCCTGGATGTCCGCACTCTGCCGTCGCCACATGGCCTGAAACATCTGCGAGTACTCGGCCAGTTTGTCCTGGAACTTGCGCCTCTGATCTATCAGCTCCATGTGCACGGATCGCAGGAGGTAGCTCTGCCTGTCCAGTTGGCTGTTCTTTTGGCCCAGCTCCTGTTTTAAATCATTGTTTCTCTCTGTCAGTTGATCCATGTCCACCTGCAGATCCTTTAGCTTTTCAATGGACATCTCTGCCTCCTTGCGAATCTGCAGCATCTTGTGCTGCAGGAGGCTCTGCTCCTTCTCCCGGCAGAAGTCTCCTCCGGAGCTCTCCTCCTCCTCCGGATGGTTTCCCCTCTCCAGGCTGTCGAGAAACTTCTGCAGCTCTTCCTCCTCCTCCACCACCATTCCCAGTGCCTTCTCCCTCAGACAGAGGTACCTCCGTCGCTCCTGCCTGAACATTGCCCTCCAGACTTCGGCGGGCAGACCGACATTGGGATTGGGGGAAGGAGTGGGCGCCGGAGCAATCAGGTGATCCCTTTCTTCCGGTGGATCCGTGTAGTTAACAAGCACTGTTCTGCCACCGCTGCCCATCAGTTGTTGGAGCAGCCTGGTCAATCGTATGTTGTGGTAACGAATGTGGCTCTTGGGATTGTGGGCTAGGGCCTGGAAAAGATTCACCAGCGTGTCCAGGGGCTTGTCTGATTCGAGGGACGGCGAATCCTCCGCCAGTTGCTGCAGGTAAACCAGCTGCAGTTTGCCACAACATTTCCGCAAGTGATCGCCAGCCGACTGAATCACGTGGATGGTGAAGATCAGGTGAGGACAATCGCCGGCCTCGCCCACTTTGTCCATGATTCTCGCCATGTAGGTGTGCACCTCACGGGACGTGGCCACAAAGTGATCTCGGCTCGTCCGGCGATTGCAGCCCCTGAGGTTGACCACCAGATCGTCCGACTCTCCGCTCAGCTGGACATAGCGCACCGAAACGTGCACCTCCATGTTCGTCTCAATGGAGTAGACACTGTGGAAGAGTTCGCCCAGGATGCGGGTGACCATGTCACCCGGATCTCCTCCATTCCCTCTGGGCAATCCGCAGCTGAAGATTGTGCTGGTGCGTCCACTGAGGACCTGATCCAGCACCTCCGCGATCGCCTCCTCGCAAACTTCGCGCTGCAGTTCGCTGGGGGAGGCCAATAGCTTCCGGAACAGGTAGACCCTCATCTCGCCGGGATGCGGCACTTCATCTCTATACTGCATGACATAAAACGAGAAACAAACAACAGAACGAAGCAACAAAAACGGGTTTTGTGTGTGACTGTGGCGAGTGTGTTTATGGGACAGAATGGATTTCGGCCTGTCAATTAGCCTACTGTGGCTCAGTAGTCGCATCGAGAACCAAGTCGAGAACGTTCACTTCGCCTGGCCTCCGATGCATCAGAAGTATCAGATGCCTCCCCTGCGGCCCAACGCAAATGCCAAGTGGCAAGTGGAAATGCCAAAGTTTGCGACAGGCCACCGAATGCTTCTGGTTTCTGTGGCATTCAAGCATTGGATATGGATATGTGCATCTACACTGGCAATCATAAAAATAAATAAAGAAAAGAAAGAATAGATTCCTATTATGATAAATATTTATTTTATTTAATTTTATATAAATCTACCGATAAAATAGTATCACATTTACTAGAATATTTAACTTAATATTCTTTTTTCCCAAGTGTAAATTAAGTCAAAGTTGCCCCAGTTTATATCGCTTTAGTTTAGTTCAGCTTAGAGTTAACAAGCTATTCACGTGACTGCAGCTGCTGCCTGGTTCTTGGCCTTAATGCTTTTGGCTTTATCGAATCCACTTATAACATTGAATTTTGCATGTTGCTCTGCCTATCTAATGGTGCTGTTTTTGGTGCTTTTGATGCTTTTGATGCTTTCGTTTGCTGTCTTGCGCAGCTCCTTCATCGAAGAGCTAATCCGTTTGTCCCGCAGGTGCAGGACTACCGCTTCCTCTGTCCCAACACGACGGCCTTCGACCAGGAGCTGCAGATCTGCGCCAACTGGCTGGACGTCGACTGCGACAAGGCCACTTCGTTCTACGACAACGGAAACCTAAACGATCTGTATCGCGGCGGGTATGACAGCAAATCCGCCCACGAGGAGGAGGCCACCTTCCACCTTCAACGCGCCGAATCGGGTGAGTAATTAAATTGGATTGTAACTATTCTGTTAAGTGAGTAAATTAAATACAAAAATAACCATTGAAGAAAAGGGGAACAATTAAAATAAATGCATAGTTTGCTCAAAGAAAATTATGTTGGTATAAACAATTTATTTCTATTTATTCGTTAAAAAAAATACAAATAATAATTATTTTTGGTCCCTGAAAATATTTGTTTTCTTTTTTTTAAATATCGAATATAAAGGTACAACTTGATCGGTTTTAACCAGGGTTATTTGTAATTGCAGGTGATGTACGCCGCTCTAAGGAGAACCACAACCACAACAATAACATCAACAATAACAATAACAATCGCGGCGGGGAGCAGAAGCCACGAACTCGTCACAATTACGCGCAGACAGGTGGCAGCTCCATCTCCAGTTCCAGTTCCAGCTCGAGTCCCAATTTGGAGATCACGCAACCCACCAAGCGACCCATTTCCACCTATTACACGCCGACCACTTCGACCAGCACCACCACAACATCGACCACATCCACGACGGAACGCAGCTATTACAGCAACAATTACAGCAACAATGACGACTCGAAGCGTAAGAAACAATAGGGTCTCGCGATGCATGCCCCGAAATTAATCACGCCTCCCATCCACAGAAGACATAGATGATATCTTCAAGGGTTCCCACAGCTCGCACTTCTTCTCCAATCGCCACGGGGGTCGGGAATACGACGAGGAGCCCGCACGGCCCAAGCCCAATGACTTTTCGGATTACCAGCGCAAGACCACAAGGGTCACGCCCACCAGAGGAGCAGGAGGAGCTGGTCAGCGATCCACTTCCGGTCCGAGTAGTCCCATTACACCCAGCACTGCTGCTCCCAGCACCAGCACCACCAAGTCCCTCAAGAAGATCACCCTGCATGCCACCTTCAACACGGACTTCCTGGCCAGCTCGCCGCACACCAAGAGTCCCTCCTACAGCGCAGTGACCACTCCACGTCCCAGCAGCAGCATCACCAGTCGGTTTAGCTTCGGCTCCAGTGACTTCCCCACCCAGGAGAGGATTCAGCCCACCACCTACAACCCCAACAGTGGAGCCTATCGCTTCAAGACCACCTCGCCACCAGCCAGTTCCACCAAGGTGACGGGCAAGGGAGTCCAAGATTTCGAGAAGCGCAGCAAACCCACAACGGCGGCGGTGAGGAAACAGAAGCTGGGTCCCCAGGAATCGAACTACATCAATCAGAACGAGTTTGTGGATCTGACAAAGGCACATAAACCCCAGCAGCCGCAACCCTTCCAGGTGCAGGGGCAGGTGCAGAATAAGCCCAACCAACTGGAACCGCACTACCAGCGACACAAGCCGCAGGTGACCCGAGTGGGTGGCCAGGAGCCAGCTCCCTTCTCAGCGCCCAGCTCGAAGCCGCGATCCTTCACCAGCCGGGGCAGCATCACCTACAAGGCCACCACCGAGCGTTATGTGGACCAGGAGCTGTACTATCCCACCACCAGTGGCACGACGGCAACGAGCAGGTTGAGGGAGGCCTACACACCCACCACCTTCCGACCCACCACCTACAAGAAGCCCTATGAGCAGCCCAGCTATCAGACGCAGCTGACCCACCGACCCACCCAGCCGGTAGCCACCAAGAAGGCAGCCACCTCGGCACCGCCAACCACTTCAGCCAATCCGCAATCCACCGTGGACGAGGACGATGGGCAGTACCACCCGGAGCTGTACGAGAACGATTTCCCGCGCAATCGCATCCGTTTCCTGCGCAACCGAGCCACCAGTTCGACCACCTCGACCACAAGTGCGCCGGTGGTGTCCAGCCGGCAGCCACATGGCTTCCAGCAGGCCCACAGTCACCTGAAGAGCCAGCAGCAGTCCATCTACCAGAAGGAGAGGGAAAGGGAGAGGGAATCCGATCTCAGCGACGAGGAGGAGCTCTTCAAGACCGCCCAGTCGCTGAACTTTGGGGCGGCCAGCATCAACAAATTAAGGGCGGATATCTACAAGGCGGAGAAGACCTCGCAGCAGTACAACTCGCAGTACAGTCCGCAGCTGGTGGCATCTAGTCCGCAGGCCAGCAGCACCACTAGCTCCACCTCGACTAGCAGCACCACCACCACGACGACCACCAGACGACCAACGACCACAGCCAGAAGCACAACCACCATTACCACCAGTGCACCCGTGGCGGCCAAGAAGTCGGTGAAGAGCAAAAAGGAGCAGCAGCAGCTGGAGAAGAAGGATCGACCAGCGGGCAAGAGGCCTCCGCACGCTGACGAGGACACCAGCTACGATTATGCCTACTACGATACGGACTGAGCGGCTATCCTAACTAACTACTTGCATTACCACCCGACAGAACCCCACAGCCCAGAACATGCCCCCAAAATAGGTGCCACAGTATTTTAAAGACAGCTTCCGTACTCCCCAACCATGCTCATCAGATTCCAAACACCATACATACATATCTTACTTACCAACCGCTTGACACCCATTAACACTCGCGTACATTCATTCAATCAGTTTCAGATGCGTTCTAATGAATTTCCATGCGTGTATCTAGTTATTTAAATAAAAGGAATATATGTTTAGTCGTTAGACAATTGTTGAACCGAAGCGAATTGGCAGCAGAAAACCGTAACGAGACCGGCCGAGGAACGTTTTCAGAAATTCCATTGAAGTATTGAAGTGCTTGTTGTCTAATATTCAATGAATTCACCACAAAATTGTATTAGTCTTAAGTTTTCTTGTAAATAAAATGAAATGTAAATCGTAAAATGATTGATTTTGTCTCTTGTGCTTTTAAAATACTGATTTAGAATTTAAGGGAAGTCAAACGCAACTTGGTATTTCTTTAGGTAAACAATTTGAGAGGGCTTTTTATTAAATTAAAATAAAATCTAAAAGAAACTTAGTATACTTCTGCACTGCAAGGAAACGATCTTTAATCCTTGAACTTCTGGCGAACACATCGCGGCATGGGAAATAGGTAGACCAACATGTTGAAGGCGGCTAAGCCCACGGCAAAAGCACAAGAGGCGGCCACATCGATGGTTTCCTATACAAAGAAATCTATTAGATATATAATCCAACCAATAGATTTTATTTAATTATACTTACATCGGGATCCGGCAATCCCAGTCGTTCGTGCATAAAGTCAGCTGGTTTTGGACAGATCACAGAGGCAGTGGGAGTGCAGTTGAGTTTCCGCGACTGAATAGCGATGCTGTGCAGCAGGGAAGATGCGTAGCGAGTGTGGGTGCCCTTTGTATTGTCCTGCAGCCAGGGTTGAAGTCCTTTAAAGGAGCTAAGGAATAATAATATTTTGGTTAGTAATTTAATATGTGAAGATTATATTAGTATGATAGTATCCTTAGATATATAACTGATCTCTCAAAACTTACCGCACAGTTCCACTGGCCAATGCAATGCTAATGACCAGCACATAGGTCACAGCAATGGCTGCGTTAAAAGGAACTTTCACCACCAAAAGAAAGGCTATGGTCAGTTGCTCGGCCAGGACAAAACTGGACCAAAGGGCCACAAACAAATAGGCAAAGACAATGCCATTATTGTACTTTACATCCAAGAGAAGACTGAAAGAAATTGAAGATTATTTCCGAATCCATTTTCCATAGGTGAAGATCTTACGGGTAAACAACGCAACTAGCGATTACAGCGGAAATTGCGGAGAAAGGTATGGAAACGGAATTGTAGGCTATCAGTAGAGTAGTTCCCGAGTAGAGACCCTCTGGGGTGTCCTGCGAGAACTTTTTGCGCCAAATGGGAACTGAAATTAGTGTTAAGGTGTTCAAAAGTAAATCTGGATAGTTCATGTCACTACTCACATAGGGATATGGTGGTAAGGATTCCGCAGCCATAAGACAAACCCAAAATATTAAGGATCATGCCGTTTTTGGTGAAGAATCCATGGGCATCATCCTGAAATATAAGCATTATAAGGTAATATTTAAACTATATTTTGATATTATTATCTCCTGACTTACCCCAACATCTGTATAAAAGGCCCACAGGATGCTCATGGCCAATGGAAGGAGCAACATGCGGAGGAATAGTGTCTTCATGCCTACCAAGCCGCAGGAGAAGGTTGATGCCAGTAGTTTTCTACAAAGTATGTTAAATATAATTTATGAAATTAAAAGTACTTCCCAGCCATACTTACAAGTACAACATAACCCAAACTTTGAGCTCTCCAGGCTTTCCATAGGCCAGTGGCACCTTGCCAGATCCCATATTATTTAGGGGCGCATCCGAGATGGGTGTTTCCCGCGAGAATCGCTCCACCAACGCCTCGATTTGCTGGCTGGATTCCAGGAAGCGATCACGACTGCGACGGTCCACGGTGGACAGGCAGAGATAGTACATCAGGGGATTCTCCAGCTGGGGACAGGGGAATCCAATGCCATGGAAGTACTCCAGCATGGCACGAGTGCCTCCGGAATAGACCACTCCACCCAGGCAGAGAAATAGAGCTCGATCCAGGAATGGGAAGACATCGGAACGCGGCTTCTCCAGCGACAGGAGAATACCACAGCCCGTCTTCTTGGCCGTGTTGGACAGAATGGATATCAGCAGATAGGCACTCAGGGGATCCAGGCCATGAGTCGGCTCATCCAGCAATAGCATAACTGAGGGGGATAGTTGATTTAGCTAAAATGATCTCTTGATATATAAAAATCTTACCAGGATCTCTGACCAACTGGATGCCAATAGCCAGACGTCGTGCCTCGCTGATGTTCAGGTATTCCACTCGCTTGTGGGCCACTTGTGAAAGGGCCAAATCCGCCAGCACTTGTCGCACCTTCGAGCTCTTCAGATAACCACTCAACTGCAAAGGGATTAAGTATTATACTTATGTATTACACTTATAACAAACATGTAGTAAATCCAAAAATTCCAACAAGAATTAAACCCAAAAATTTCACATTTAATTTAAATTTTTTGTAATATATTTTTTATCTGTTAAAATTTGTATATTTCTAAATATTTTTAATTAAATTATGCAAAATATATTGAACTTTGCATAAATAATACTTTTAAAAATTATTTCATTTTTTCAGTATACACGTGTACCACCTTTCAATTAAGAATAATTAAAGTGTCGCCTTATACGATCTTAAGAGTCTCCATATTTGTTTCAATGATCTTTTGAAAAAATCGAATCGCAATAAGATCTTAAAATGCATAAACCAGTTGGGTAGTTAAATTGTAAATATTTTAATTAAATTAAGCTTTACTTTGATAGGATAATGGATTCAAAACCCTTTCTATCTGAAATACATTTAAATACTACTCACTATGGTGGGAGTGTAGTGAAGTGTTTGGGCCACTGTTAGACCGTGAACAAAGGTGCAGGACTGGGTGACATAGCCGCATCGCTGTTGGAACAAAGCCTTCGAGAGGGGCGATCCATTGAGCAGCACCTGACCGCGAGTGGCTCCATCGGCGCGCCTTGAGATGACGTCTAAAAGAGCCCTCTTACCACTGCCTAAAAATATCCAAATACGATTATTTTCTACATATTTTTTATATAATATATTTTGTAATACCCTTTGATCCCAGAATGGCCATAACCTCGCCGCTGTGCACGGTGAGATTGACGCCTTTGAGGACCAGGGCTGAATTGCCGGCTCCATTGAAACAGCCACCACCATCCACCTGTTGTCAGAACGAAAAGAAAACAAAGAAGGTTTATTAAGAGGGGGTTTTTCACGAGACCGAAGAGAACCCACCTCGGTGGTGTGGAAAATGTTGTGGGCTTCCAGTACGTAGTCGCTGCCGATCATTTTCATAGCCACCACTGAGAGCGCTGCTTTTGTTTGTTTATACTGCTTGTGCTCTTTTGGGCTAACACTCTATTCGTGGCTCAAGAGTGGTTTTGGTAAGAGCTGATTTCCAGTGAGGGAAGAGAAAACAGAGAGTGGTTTATAAAGAGAAGACATATTAACACCAAGTGATAGAATTTGGAAAAGACAAAGTCTCTTTTTGAATGGAAAATTTAATATTGTAAAGCTATAAATCAATTATTTAAAAATTACGGACTTGTTTTTTCTGTATTTTTTAAGAACTTGTATATTTTAGATATATATTACAGCGAGAGTAAATCCGTGCATCTTCTGAAGATATTTTTCAGAGAGAGAGAGAGAGAAGAGGAGAGGAGAGGGTTTGATATAGGGATACAATTTCAATACTATGAGAAAGACAAGACACTTGTTAATAAAATGTTTCTAATTTTAAAGGCCAGAAATTATTTGATGAAACTTAAGATACGTTTTCTGTCTTGTTTTTAAGAAGTTTGAATTTTTTAGATATTTCTAAGCGATAACTGCACACTTCTAACCTCCGCGAACACGTCCAAACCAACTGAGCGCGCTGTTCCAACTGAACTGAAACTGTTGCTCGGCCGCAAAGGCCATTCCAATTGGCAGAGATGGAAGTTGGCCCTCTCCGGCTGGAAATCGGCGCTCTCCTAGCAAATACTTCCAGCCAAAGCAAGCGGGCTAAGATGGCGGCCGAGGCCAAGTTCAGATCAGTTCGCTGCGAGCCGAGCTCCGAGAGAGTTGCCTCCACCGATCCGCGGATCGCGTCGATCGTTTTTTTTCTGGCGGCGCCTCAACTCATAATTCCCAGCAGAAAATAACAAAAAGTAAAAATAGAGACCATTCAACGCTTATGGAAATCTAATTGAAATGTTTACGGCTTAGCGGGCTACAGAAAAGATATACAGAAATACTTGTGCAAAGGCGAATATATATTTTAATGGCCTCCGGGAAGTGCATGCAAATGTGGTTGGTTATTTGTTGACTCGCGGAATATCCAATAGATACCAAAAAAAAAAATACAAGTGGCAAAAATACAAGTGGCGTGTGTGTGCAGTGCGAGTGCGATTGTGTGTCTATATGGTCTATACGAAATATGCAGACATCGGTGTAGCCAGCAGATCGACATTGTAATGTAAGTGCTGTTTCCAAGTCATGAATGAGTGTCGCCGAGCGGCTAATTAGAGTCCAACTGGCCGACTGGTATTTACTGTTAATTGTATTTAAGGCAACGGCAGCACTTGCCACCTCGAAGCAAATGAAACCGACGAGTATCCACCACGCTCCACGTTCTTTTCCTATAGGTATACCTTCTGCTTCTTTTCGTACTCCTCTGTTCTGCTCGCGCGGTCGTCACCATCGCAGGTCAAAGATCCCGCGAGCGGGTTTTGTCTAGCAAATGTATCTTAGCCTCCACCATTTCCAGCACTTCTTGGCCGCTCGCTCTTGGCTCAGCGCCCTGCTTTCTGCCCCTGCTCACTGCTCCCTGAAGAACCGAACGAGCCAAAGCCAAAGCCAAAACCAGAACCCAAGTGCCAGCCAAAGCCGGAGTCGCACAAACAGCCAAGTGCCTTCAGCTCGGCTTGTCTTGTCTTTTATTTTCTCTGCAGCTCACTGCTTCGCTGCACAGGAAAAAAAGATCGGCTTAAACAAATAATTAGCTACTTTGGATGTGAAAATCAATATGTTTATATTTATTTCCTGGTTATAATTAGTTTCCTGAAACAAATACAAAAAACATGCAGAAAAAGTTGTATATCATCTTTGGAAGTAAAAAAAGAGTTTGGAAATTCCCTCAAATATTTTCTTATACATTTTTATAGTTAGTACTCAATTCAATTTATAAATTTCTTAATATTTTTATTCATTTTATAACACTTTTTTCTTACTGTATGCGAGTGTGTATCTCACAGATACGAGTTTCAGTTTGTTTGTTTGTTTGGCCGGCTGTCTTTGCCTTTTGCCTTTGCGGAGCTGCGTTCTTGGCTCTCCGGGAATCGTTTGTTGTTTGCTCTACCCGCAGATGCCAGCATCGTCTTGGTCTGGTCATTTCCTCGTAAAAACAGCCTCAAGCCCCTGATAGACTTCTATCGTCGTTATTTGTTTTTATGTTTGTGGTTAAACTACGTAAATATATTTTTATGTGCCCTTAGATGTGTTTGCATAATTTATGGGCCCTTATTTTTGCACATAGCCAAGAGTTCTAGGGTAATAAAGATGGCAAAGCACTACCACATTATTTTATTCTAATCGGGGATAGCTTTTTATTACTTTTATACACATACTATAAAATCATGGGATAAAAAGAAAATGCAGAAAGTAATCCCTGCGATATCTTGATCATTGTTAGCTTTTTATTTGACTTAATAAAGTTAGTCAGGTATTATTTATTATCGAACAAGATGTGAAAGCCGTAACAGATCTTTTTCCAAGTACAGAGAAATATTATATTTCCGAGTGTACTCTTCCTATATATCGGCTCATAAAGAATAACCACGCGGCTAAGCAACTTTCACATTCATTTTGCAATTTCGATGCAGCTGCCAATCTGCGCTCACAATCACTTTCAAAATTTCGTGCCGCGAAACTTGATTTCTCATCGAAAATGAGCCGCTGGCTAATGGCGATTTGGCCACCAGGGCTTTAGCACCATTCTCAGGGCCCCGACTGCAGATCATTGTCAACCTAATGCCTTTGGCCCTTTGCAATGCAAATTCCCAGCCTCCGTTTCGGAGTCCATTTCTAGAGATATTCTCGCACCTAATTAGCCCTGTCATGTCGTTGTGACCGTTAGAATGCTGTTAAAGCCATGGCCAAGCTCATTGAAAAAGTTCCAAAATGATTTCTGGTTCTTCGCGCTGACTTGCCAGATTGTTTTTCTTGATTTTCCCATTGTTGTTTTTGCCGACGCGCTGCGGCGTAAATTAGTTAACAGTATTATTATGGCTGCTAACGGGGCTCGATGATTTGTGGCTGCTGTTTGGGCCCTCTCAAAAAAAAGAAACAGAAAAAACTATCGTTTAGAAGCTGACCGACAGTGACAAGATCTCCGAGCGGTCGTAATTCAATTTCGACAATTTCAATTCCAGTCCAAAGGAAAACAAATACAGAAAAAAAACAGAAAGAAATCAAAAGACTTAAGACAGCAACGCGGAGTCTAGACAACAACAAGAAACAGAGGAAGGCGCGGCCAAAGGCAAAAAGCCAGCTTAAGTTGAATTGATTGTCAGTTATGGCTTTGTGGTGAGTTCGGATCTGGAGTGGGGTGCAGTGGTATCTGGTCCGAGGTATCTGGTCTTTGTCTTGGGTCTAGGCGGGTTTTCGATTGGTTCTCCATAGGTGTGGCTGCATCTTGCTGGCCAAAACTTGTTCTCTCGGTCCCTCGAGTCCACACTCTCCAATATATACTCATATACTCATTCGTTTTCAATTGAACTTAGTCGCTGGTTATTCCGAGACGCATGAATCATTGCATTTAATGATCTCCGACTGGATGAAGTCAGCGGATGGCCAAGAGACTAAGACCCTTGGCCGCTGGCAAAGTGAAAACTCAACCGGCAGGAAATGCAAATTCGAAATTCCCCAGATGCAGGGGCCATCTCATCTCTCCCACTGCGGGGCCATTAAAAGCTGCGACCATGAAAATTGTGGGCATTGATAGATACGCTACGGAGCCGCAGCGAGTTAATTTACTTTTTATTGTAATTAAATTAACACAGCATAGCAGAGGAATAAAAAGAAGAGGAGGCCGCAGCAGCAGAAGCAGAACAGCTGCATAATTAGGCGAAGAAAGTACATTTCAGCCGCCGCTGCTACACACACTCCGTGACTTTTATGGCCGTAAAAAGAGAAGCTCACTTAATTTCACTCCAAGTTCACAGACACGGTTCAGACATGCCGCTGACATAGAATCAGAATAGTCGCAGTCGGAGTCGGAGATGATTTGACATGGATCCAGCCAACGTGAGCCGAATAAATCGCTCTTAAAATCCATGTCACATACTTGGCCTACACACTTTTCCCCTGAAAAAAAATAAAATAAAATAAATAAAAAAATTGGGATTTTTTTAATATGACAGCATTTTACAAATTATCTAATTAAAATGATCTAAGAAAATCTTTAAAAATTGTACATGTTATAAGAAAAAAGAATGCCAATTTAGATTGTTTTAATTGCCTTAGTTAATTTCTTGGAAAATTAATAAATTTTTCTCAAAAGTTATATAAATTGAAAACTGATTAGTCAATGTTTTTATCTTAAATTTTGGCTTAAGTTTTTAAATATAATAATGGAATTAAAAGTTATACCTTATATTTCAGACTTACTGTTGAATGAGATTTTAGTACCACACCGAATTATATAGATATTTTTTTTAGTGTGGATTTGGCGCCTAAGACCGGGTCTTTGGGTCTCTGGGTGTGTTTGGGAATTTGGCCAAATACGCCTGTCTGTCGCATTTTTATGCATGCGATGGCAACGCAGGGAAAAATTGCCATTTTTCTGTTTTCGTTTGGTTTGCCATGGAATTCATGTCAATTAGCCCGGTGGCACACGTGTCTTTCTGCGGAGGAGGCGAATGGGGAGCAGCGGGATTGGCTTTGGCATGCAAATTTTACCCACAATTGTTGGCCACTTTCACAAGTCGTCTGTTGCAATACAGGAAAGTGTTTTGTTTCGTTTCGTTGCGACTCGTTTGAACCATGGGGATTTGTTTTGGTTTCTGCTCAGCGTTAATTGCCTGTAAAGATGCCCGAAACTGAGGCAAAGTTTCGTATTCCGTTTGGGCAATTAATAAAACTGACCTTGCCTGAGTTTTCTAACCGCAAAGCGAAAACTGAACGCCGAAGCGCTGGAAACCGAAAGCCGATCCGCTGAAAAGCGCTGAAAATGAGACCACCGCGGTGGTTTTGGTTTTGCTTTTGGTTTTGACTTTGGCGGTGGCTCCGACGTCGCTTTTCAGCGGTGGGGGCTATGCAGCCATGACGAATATTCGTTGACGGCATGACATTAGCTCGACTTTTTGGGGTCACAGTCAGATTCAGAGCGACGTCAGCGGAATTCTTGCGCTCGCATTTCTGCCGACGAGCTGGTTAACTCATTTCTGGTTATGCCCCTGCCTCGGCAACTCGGATATTGCCCAATTCGATGGCGATTTGTGGGCTACATTCATTAGCTTGGCTCACAAATCGGGTCAGCTTTGGTTTGCCATTAGTCAGTGTTTAATTAATCATTTTCCTCTTCTAGTTCTCGCAGCTTTTGCTGACAGTTTATATGGTTTGTTGAATCAATCAATAGCTAAGTTTATGGGGAAAAAAGCGTAAATAACTTGAAACTGACTCATTAAAAGTTGTCATTCCATAAATATTTATTTACTTACTTAAAACAGTACTTGAAAATGAACTAAGTTTATTAAGATCAATAACAAATGTAATTAAGTTATCAGAAAATTAGAACAAGTTATATAAAGTTAATTTAACTTTTTTTCTAAGTTTTATATAAAACAGTAAATTTAAATTTGTTCAATTTATAATATTTTTTTTACAATAATCATGTCTAACCTCTTTTCTCGCCGTGTATCCATTCACCTGCTGGGCTTGGACCCATCTCTGCCCGTGTTTCGTCGACGTTTACCCACTCATAATCAATTTACGCAGCCGAAAAACTTTCACAAGTCGTAATGCTTCTTCAGCTTGAAGATTTCCTCGCTGCGTGCTTGTCTTTTTGACTGACTGTCGCTCATCCGCCATGGAGGCCAGTAAAAAGCGTGAGCATCTATCGCACAACGTGGCCAGCAATTTGCATACTGGCTCACTGCCTCGATACGATTCGCCACAAAAAAACGTGCTAAAAATCAAACAAAAAACCGAACAAAAATCTCTGGAACCCGAGTGTTCAATTAACACACACACAAAAAATCTCAGCTCGTCGACGGCGAATGCGAATGCCTTTCCTCCCGAGGCATAATCACAAAAAATTTCATCTCTTCGAACCGGACGACGACGAGCAGGTTCAACAAACCGCTTTGTCGCCGGAATGGAGCGAGGAATGTTGGCCACGGGCTGGCGATCATTTAATTTGTTTGTTATTAATTTGCATCTGGCAATGGCATTAGTCAGCGCTCGAAATCGGCACTCGTTTGCCGCCCCTTTCGGCTGGCCACGCCCCTCCAGCGAGTGCGGATCCTGAGAAGGGTATTTCGACTTTGACAATACGTATGTGTCTAAATTTACCAGCCTACGTGATCCCATTCAGGTTTCTGGCTTAACACATTAGTGACTTTCTGTTTTGCGCTTTCTTTAAGAATTTTGTGTATTTTTTAATGACTCACGGACAAATTAAATTCTTATTTAAGGGAAATCATCTCATATAATCAGGATTTCACATCTTTATTTCTGCGGGTTTTTATCTTGAAACATGCAATTCCATGTAAATCTTGGTCAGACATGATTCCAAATTCTTTTCTTTAATTAACAGCAATTAACTGTATATTTGATGGAGGTTTTTATAATTTGTACAATCAATTAAATATTTAAAAAGTAAAATTGTGCTAACAACTTTCTAAAAAATCGGAATTTCAAGAATTGAAAGTGAATTCCTCTTTTGACCTCAAATTGTATGCATTTAAGCTTTTGTCTTCGCTCGTCAAACTGATTTTTCCCAGTTAAATAAAATCTTTACGACTCTGAGTGCATTCAAGCTTCGTTGTGTATGCAGTTTCCCTTGTTTTATTAATCGCAAATTACAAAACTGCAACTGTGACCCACTTTTAAGGCAGTCGCAAAATATTTTGTAGGCATTTATCATACGCCCCGTGTGCCGGAGCAGCAGCAACTACAAATTATGCCACAAGAGTTTCACTTTCTCAGCGAGATCTTCTCAGACCATCAGTTAGTCATTCAGTCAGTTTGTCAGTCTGTCAGCGGCAATCAGGGGACAGCTTTTGATATGGGAGGGAGGCTGACCCACCTGTTGTCTACATGTCCAGGGAACCAGTTTTGGGAGAAATGTGGAGCCCAAGAGCCCAGCAACCCAGTTTAATTGGCTTTTGCGTGGGAATGAAAACGGATGGGCCAAGCTGGCTGAACCGCAGGTCAGGTCTCGTTTGCAGCCCCAATCACATCACATCTTTCAAGTACCCAACAATCTTTCAAGCCCACAAAAGCCGAAGCCAGTAAAATCCAGCCAAGAGAGAGCAACAAATTGTTATGGCCGGGTCCACTTGAAAGCCACTTGGGCGCGCTCCATTAAATCATAAAATGTGCGCACAAGCCGGCGATCAGTGACCGAAAAACCGGAGTCAAAGTCGCAGAGGAGTTGTCGTGGTCACAGCTCGTGTCTAACTGCAGTTTTGCATCAATGGTCATGTGAGTGCAACCGCAACTGCAACTCCTCCGGCAAACGGTTCTCGACTTGTCAACTGACGCATGGCTTCTTGGCCAACGGGAATGCAGAATGACAGCAACGGGACTCCGCCGCCGTCTGCATATGCAACATCTTGGCCAACAGCTGCCTGCCAATTGGCCTAATCGGCCAATAGCCTGCTAAGCTATTGCCAATAACCGTTGGTAGGCAATTATTTAGCGCATTGTGTGATTTATTCGCACCAGCAGCAGCCGGCCTCGTTGACAGGCAAATATCCGCTAGCTTCGGTCTTAGTTTCTGTCGCTGACCGATCATGCAACGATCGGGTGACCCACTTGGGCATTAGCCACATATATAAGCCATAAGCTAATCAAGACTGTGATATAATTCCGGCCAGACTGCAAACTGCAGCTGTAACTGCAGCGGAACTTTGGCTGGGTTTCGGCCACAGCTGCATCCAGTTTTTCGTGTTGCCCGCTCAGATATTCGGGGCCCGCAATCTGATAAGTCAGCTAAGGCTTGGCTAATGGATAGTTAACTGTGGAATGCCACCCAAAAGCTAAGGAATAAAAATAACTTTCAATCTTGGGAACTAAATAATCATATTTGCCTTTAAGGTATAGATAAATCTGTGTGAAGAAGTAGAACAATTACTATATGTCATTAACACAAATATGATTAACTCTAAAATATTTCAGTTCTGTTCTCATAAAGGTTATATCTCTTATTAACTGAACTTTTTAAAACTTTTGGCCATGTCAACATAGCATTTTCTTAATTCCAAAACGTGCTGATACAGAAGTTTGCACTATTGTTTTTGATAATGAGGTGGTAAACATCTTATTAAGCAATCTCAAGTAATCATCACATACTCAAGTATATTGTACTGAATCTTTAAAATAGTACACTTTCAAAAGTCTTGCGCCATTAAAACAAACAATTGAATCAATTAGTGTTAGCTGAAGTATCTATTCAATTTTCCAAGCCATACAATTTAATAAGCTTGTTTTTGATAGTTTAAAATGCAACTGCGAGACTTTAGCTTAAAACTAAAAGTCACTTTAATCATTTTTTCACTTTCCTCCGGCTGACAGCTGTCGGTTTTTAGCTGCCATTCGCAATGTTTTTGCTACACGCACTTGTACGAACAATGGATAGATATATAGATACGCGCACTGTGAGATACTTAGATATCGGCTGCGACGTCCACCGAGCATCGTGATCACATAAATCAATGCCGCTGTCGTGGTCGCCGCCGTATCATTGCCCCCAATACCATTCATTCATTACAGGCAGCCCAACAAAGCGACGCTTTAGATGCCGCACATCTCTTTCTTTGCGGCCCATTTAGACTGCCCAGTTTTCAGTATATGGATAAACTCGAAGATAATTCTGGTTTCTTAAAAAAAAAAAAATAAAAAGGGAAATAAATAAGTAATGAATAAAGGTATTTAAAAGAAGAGGCCTATCCATTAATTACAATTTACAATTAATAAAAAGTGGCAATAACTTAACCTAAAAAACTAAGGATTACTTTCCACCTCTGAGGCAACTATAAAAAAGTAAAAGTTAGACAAAATGCCCCCACAATCATTTTATATAGGCCGTAAATTCCTGGGGGAGATATTTTTTAGTGCATATGGTAAGTAGCAGTCTCTTGAAACTGCAACCGTGTGTAGGTTTCTCGGATGGGATGTCTGAACTGTTTCAGGCTTTCGCGGGTATCAAAACCACCTTCCCTGACTTCCACTTTCACTCGGTGCCAAGTGCTGGCCAAAAGGCCCCGGCAAAAACGGTTACGGCCAAGAAAAGCTAAAAAGAGGCAAATAATTGTTGGGTGAAAGAAATGATAATAATAAACAAAAACACTGGCAGACAAACAAAATCGAGTAAAATGCGTTGAACTGCGAGGAAAATCCGTTTATGCGATTATGGCACAAGTGATTTTAATTAAGGCGAATTTAACACGCAATTAAGAGTTCCGAGTTCCGTGGCCACAATGTCTAATATCGCATGGTGATCTGGTGGTAATGGTAGATGGGCGAAAGCATTCGCGATGGAATGCCGTAATCCGGGCGCCCAGCTTTCATCTTCTGGGGGGCACCGCCCACCAATCTCGAGCCCCAGCTTCACTTTCGGCGACTGCCTAGTGGAGCATGCAAATGCGAATATGTCTTGGAGTTGGAGAGCTATAGTTGGAAGTGGAGTACCCTAAGCCGCTCACTTTCGCCGCACTCGTAGAACACTCACACTCGACTACGTAATCTCTGCGGCTGGCAAAACGGAAATCCGCACGGCTCGCTGCACTGCATCCATTTGGAGTCCACAAAGTGCGGCGACAGCGTTACATTGGTTTGTTTGCCTTTCATTCGTTGGTTGCATAATGCAAAATGCAGTTCATTTGCATGGATTTTTGGGGCCTGCATTGGCAATTAAAAACCCAGAGGCCGTGTCCAAATGAGCTGCGCTTTGTTCTGCCTCCCTTGGATCTCCTCAAGATGCACAGTTGGAAATCTGAAAGACGAGACCCGATTAGGAATCATTGTCTTGGTGGCTATGTGCACTTGCTCGGCTTGAGACTCCCAAAAGAGATATTAAGTTTGCACAATGTGAAAAGAATTACATAATAATAAGATTGTACATACTAAATTTCTTTTGTTTAAAATTTAAAGGTATAGTGACAAGCTATAAAATATCAAAGAAATATAAATTAACAATTATAAAGCTATAAATTTAAAGTAAATTTAAACTTTTTCCCACTTTTATACAAAATATATAAGATTGCTAAATAACAGAGAGCATTTTATGATTGGGTCATTGTTAGGGTGTCTTAAGTTCGCCTCGTATCAAAATCCGACACAATTTCCGCTTTTGTCACGACAATGGTTGTGTGAATGCGACTCCCATTCCGAATCCGACTTCGACTTCAACTGACACTGCGTGTGGATGTATGGCCATGTGTGGGCATTGTCATTAGGCTAATTCCCGCCAATTATGAGTAATAATAGCGCAGCCATTCTCGCAGCATTCTTGACCCAGTTTAGCTCGGAATTAGCTTAATATTTTGGCCCGAACTCTCTAACCTGAACTTCCTAACCGTGTTTTCGGCAGATCATGGAGCTGAGCAACTTTTCGAGCGGCAAGAAGATGTCACGCGAGGAGCGACGCTACTCGGTGCCCCACGGTCCCAATACTCCGCTGCCACCGGCGGCATCCGAAGATCTGCACGCCTGGTCCATCTACAGGTGAGTGGTTATCCAGACATGGGTGCGGTCACTGGAGTGGATGGAGGTGCTTCAGCCGCACCTGTCGATCGGAGTTTTGACGGTTGATTTAACCGCAGCCAACGGAAGTTCAACTGCCATAAATGGCTAATTGAAGAGCCATGGCCAAGCCCTCCAATCATGACCAGCTGACCGCAACTGCAGCCGCCCATTGACCATTGCCCATTGCAACTCTCTATAACGCTTTCCATCTTGTTCAAACACCCCCAAACAACGTACCGTTAATAGGCAAAACCTGAACTCTGACTTCACCGATTCGGCTCTGGGCTCGTCGGACAAATCACCGCTGCCATATGGAAACTTCCAGCTACGCGATACCACAGTTCAATCAATCTTAAACCATCCGCGCTACGGACCCAAGTGAGTAATCCCAGACATTATTTGAATAAACCATTATTAAGCCTAATCAAGCGTTGAAAATGTCATAATGATGAGATCAGCACTAGAGAATTTTAGTAAAACCGTAGTCACTTTAATAGACTTAAATTTTTGATAAACTAAGCAAAGAATGTACATATAACGAAACAGGAATGTCCTAAACCTAAAACCACTACTTTACTAGTTCAGAAAATCTTAATTTTACCTATTACATAATTTGTAATCGTTAAACATGTCATTATATGATCTCAGCGATCTCAGGCCATGTAACTTTCTGGTCATTCAAAACCCATATCGTTTTTACATAAAATACTCTTTTTGACCAGGTCAAATTTACACGGCCGCATATCAAAATAAAATTGATCTTAAATAATGTAAAATCGATCTACGTTTCATATCGGTTCTTTTGGGAGTATAAAAACAAGAGGGAACGTTATAGTCGGATTCCCCGACTATCAGATACCCGTTACTCAGGTAAAGGGAGTGCGAGGGAGATGGAGATAGAGATAGAAAACGTTGATCACGCATAACTTTTTAACGAATGGTCCGATTTGAAAAATTTCTTCTACATTTCGATAGGTATTGATAAACACAATAAAACTGCATTTTTACTTTTCCAAAATATTAAACTTTTTAAAATCGTATATAAGCGATTGTGGGCGTTAGAGGGGGCGTGGCACCATTTTGAAACAAACTTGCGCTGCGTAGGAACTCCTAAAATCTGCATGCAAAATGCCAATCTTCTAGCTTTTATAGTTTCTGAGATCTCAGCGTTCATACAGACAGACAGACGGACAGACGGACAGACAGACGGACAGACGGACAGACGGACATGGCTAGATCGACTCGGCTAGTGATCCTGATCAAGAATATATATACTTTATGGGGTCGGAAACGCTTCCTTCTCCCTGTTACATACTTTTGCACGAATACAATATACCCTTTTACTCTACGAGTAACGGGTATAAAAAGAAAATGTAAGAAAAAAAGAATATTTAGGTATACTTTACTACCAGTCAAGGATAAACAAATCTCGGTGAAATTATTAATTTAATATTAAATGCTGATATTAGAAATACGTTTATAATCTTTATACCCATACTAAATACCTAACCCTTTCAGATCTCCCTTGGGCTCAAATATGTACACATACTTGAAGTTCGGACTGCCGCGTGTTTTCCCGCCCAATGCCGGATCGCAGCGCTCGCATCGTCCTGGTCCGGGACCGGGATCGGGACCAGGTCACGGGGGCTCCAGTGCCCTCGGAGGAGTGCGTGGCCGGGTGAACCGCGCCTTCCGCGACAGCTCGGGGGCACCCGCGGGCGCCGGGAGCAGTGGCTACGACAGCAGCGACAACGAGACAACCCGCAGCAGGGTGCCGCCCAATCTGCGCAAGTATCGCAGCGAGTCCGACTTCCGTGCCATCGGCGGCATGCCGCACTCGCGTCCAGAGTCGCGTGCCCAGATGGGAGGAGGAGGAGGCGGAGGAGTTCCGGCTGCTGCACTGCGTCAGGCCAACAGCCGGGCCAGCATTGCGGTGGGCCAGCACCACCACCAGATGCAGCAGCACCAGCAGCAGTACATGGGCAACGGGAAGCACTACGGGCACAGGTCGCACAGCGAGGCGGATCTCCTGGGGGCAGGGATGAGCCAGGTGGATGGTGGTGGTGGCCTGGGCTACGACTACAACGAGGCCCGGCTGTACGGCAGCTCCAGGCAGTACGGGAACGGAAACGGAAATGGTCACAACCCAGGCAGCCGAAAGCAGTCGGGCATGGGCCTGATCTACCCGAACATCCAGGTGCACTGCCTCGACGTGAATCCCTGCCTGCGCGGCGTGTCCATGCAGGCCAAGGCCGGGGATCTGTTCGCCATCATGGCCACCTCGCAGCGGGAGGGCAGCGCCCTCTCCGAGTGCTTGGCGGGATTGACGGAGCGCCTGGGCGGTGAGATTCTCATCAATGGCCAGCAGGTGAGTCGCCGCGGTCTGCGGGAGCTATGCAGCTATGTGCCGGCGCTGGAGGTCTCCTCCCTGGATCCCCGGATGAGTGTCCAGTGCACGCTGAACTTCCACGCCGCGCTAAGAGGTCCTCTGGATCGCAGCGATCTGGAGGAGCGCATGGATGTGCTGATCGAGGATCTGGGCCTGAACACGGTGCGTGCCTCCAATGTGTCCACTTTGACGCACTCGGAGAAGCAGCGTTTGAGCGTGGCCTGCCAGCTGCTGGCGCAGTCCTCGCTGCTCATCCTCGACCAGGTGACCAGCAACATGGACATCTTCGACACCTTCTTCCTGGTGGAGTACCTGCGTCAGTGGTGCAGCGGCGGGCGCATCGTGATCATGACACTCCAGCCGCCCACCTTCGAGATCCTGTCCATGTGCTCCGGGGTCCTGCTGCTCTCCGGCGGCAGGACCGTCTTCTCCGGCAGTCGAGCTGATTTGCCGCGACACATGGGTCAGCTGGGATATCCGTGTCCGCCGTTCAAGAACCCAGCGGATTACTACTGTAAGTAGTGCGAGATTATCTGAAATTTAAATGGTTTTTAATGCATAATCTCCCAGTGGACTTGGTCACCCTGGATGACCTTTCGGCGGCCGCCATGCTGGAGTCCTCGGCCCGCATTGAATCCCTGGCCAATGCCTGGGATCAAATCAACTCGGAGCCCCCACTGGCCGCCCCGCCCGCCTCGCTGCCCAACTTCACCCTGAAGGCGGGCTTCTTTGGCCAGATCAGCGCCCTGATCAAGAGATTCGCCGGCTACAAGCAGCCGGGATCGCTGCTCACCTGGATCAGCAAGCTCATCGCTGCCGCCGTCCTGTCCCTCTGCATCGGCTGCATCTTCTGGGATGTGCCCGCCTCCGATCCGCAGCTGAGCTACCACGACCGCCTGGGCTACCATCACTGCGTCATGGTGCTGGTCTACTGGCCACTGGTCATGCTGACCATCAGGGACACGCAGGAGGATCGCCGCCATGCGGAGCGCGACATCCGCCTGGGACTCTACACGCGCAGTCTCTACATCATTGTGCAGGTAATTTGAATTTAGGAAATATAATAGTTACAAATAATTGTTATAATGGAGTTACATGGGGTTATAAAAAGGGGTTTTTCAGTGGCTAAAAATTCTGCAAAATTCATATTTTAGTCCAATACAAAGCGACAAGATATCCAAATATCGAAAGTCATACCACATTGAGCTCGTCGTAAAATTCCCTATTGATTGGCGTTGAAACCTGAAAACTGTAGTTTTAAATAATTTTTTTTACAAAAAATCGTACAAAAAATGTCAAAAACAAATAATTTTTTAATCAACTTGAAAGTGTAGAGGATGAAAATATGAGATTGTTAGCTATACAAAACCGTACGTATTTTTGATTTGGCAAATTTTTTTGCCTAGTTAAATCAAAACAAGAATATGGAAATATCCTATCTTTACCAAAAACCTCCATCTTGATTTTCCACCTAAAACATCAATTTTATCTAATTTTGTTCAAGAAAAATGAAGAAATCTCTTATTTATTATTTTTTAGTATTATTTAAAATAACTATTTTATTATAATCTTTCAAGTGATATAAATTTCTGTACAATGTCATGTGATAATTATATCGCTCTAAACCCCTCGTTTTTATTTTCTTTTGCAGAGTCTTTTGGGCCTATTTCCTAGCCTGTGCATCTGGTTGGCTTATTTGCTGCCAGCCCACAGCATGGCGGGACTATACACCTACTCAAACAGCAGCGATACGGGCATTTACCTGTACATGGGTAAGTTAATATATAAAGTTTATATATAAACTAAACATCCTGATAAATTTTCTCCTTCATCCGCAGGCTACATGCTCCTCTACTTGACGCTCATCCAGACACTGGCCCTGTTCTGTGCCCACCTGCTGCCCTGCAAGGTCTCGGCGAGCATTGTCAACGGGCTGATCAGCCTGGCAGTGGCTGCCGTGGGTGGCTACCTGGTGCATCCCCAGAACCTGGCCGAGTTCTGGTCCTGGCTGCAGTTCGTCTCGCCGGAACGATGGCTCCTGCCTGTTCTGGTGCAGGATGAGTACAGTGCAGAGACCTTGTCCAACTCCGCCGGACTGCAGTTGTGCCGCAACAAGCAGGTTAGAGTCCATAGGAAGGATTCTAGAATTAATTTCTTATTATTTAACTAATCAATTACTTAATTAACAGGTGCAGCACCAGGAAATTATTGTGCAGCAGCCCTGCCCGCCGCCCAACGGCACCCAAGTGCTAGTCGACTTCGAGCTGCTGCCCCAGCAGCACGTGCTGGATCCCACGGCCAGCTATGACCAGACAACCTCGGTGGCCCTGGTCCTGGGCTCGGTGCTCGTCTTCTTCGTCACCTTCATCGCCTTCTTGTGCAATTGTCGCGGCGCCTGTCGGAGGCAGCGTAGCCGATAGGTCAATACCGCGACTTGGAGCTGGCCAGGATCTGGCATGCAGATGGTCCAGGCTCCCGAACTGTACATTCTATAGAAACTAAATCTTAAATAAATAGTGTTTAGTCGAGGCCGCGTTTGTTTAACTAACTAAAGGCAAGTGGTTTTTATTGAACTTGGAATGGACATTGGGCAGTTTGAGGGGGTTTCTTTAACAAGGATATTGTATATCTATAAAAGGTCTTAAATCACTAAAAACGTTATCAAAAATAGTTTGTATAAAAATGCAATTATTGCAAATATGTTGATTCTTGTTTCAAAATGTCTTTTCTTGTAGATTTCGGTTTACTTGATTAGAGAGTTTGACTTTATAATAACCAGTAGTGTAAATAATTGCTTTGTTATGAAAGACAATATTCTATTAATAGTTGGAAATCGTATACTCAAGACAGTCTTGAATTTAGTGGTGGAACAATCGCAGATTGGTGTGGGCCATGATGATTCCATGCTCATCGCAGGCGGCAATGACACCAGCATCATTGGTGGAGCCTGCAGGACTGGCTATGTAGGAGACACCGCTCTGGAAATAGTATTATATTAGAAACTAGTATTGCAACTCAAAGAAACCATTCAATTAAATTACCAAACTGGCGCGATCGATATTGTCACGGAAGGGGAAGAAGGCATCGGAACCCAGGGCCACTCCACTGAGCTGCTTCAGCCACTCGACTTTCTGCTCGCTGGTCAGTTGGGCGGGAGCCTTATCGAACCTTTATATAAATAAGTAGATTTAGAGACAAATTATATAGACAATATCTTTGCAACTCACATTCCCTCGAACTGCGATAGCGGCATATCCTTGCCAACTGTTCCATTTACGTAGTTGTCGATCGCATTCGAGATCTCGGCCCGCTTGACGCCCGCCTTGAACTTCATGCCGGCCACGCTGGGATGCTGACGCAGCCACCAGTTGTCCGCCTTCTCGCCCGCCAGGCGGGTGCAGTGAATCCGCGACTGCTGCCCGGCACCGATGCCCACCACCTGACCATCGCGGGCATAGCACACCGAGTTGCTCTGGGTGTACTTCAGGGCAATGGTGGCCACGATCAGATCCCGCACAGCCGCCTCGGGCAGAGGACCACGCTTGCTCACCACATTGGCGAAGAGCGGGGCGCCGATGACGGCATCGTTGCGCTTCTGCTCCAGGGTCAGTCCGAAAATGGTCTTGCGCTCCACCGGGGAGGGTTCGTAGTTGGGGTCCATCTGAAATGTAAATAATTTAAATTTAATATAAAACAAGAGAGAACGCTATAGTCGGGTGGGTGTCCCGACTATCTAAAACCCGTCACTCAGCTAAAGGGAGTGCGAGGGAGATGGATATATAAAATGCTTTTGATTGAGAATAACTTTTTAATAAATGGTCCGATTTGATTTGGTCTTCTACATTTCGATAGGTATAAGTATTAGAGCCCTGCATGAATGGATTCAATGAATTATTTTGAATTTTTTTCTGTTATATGAATGAATTAATTAGAATTTTGTGTTTAATAGAATTGAATGAATTTGAATTTTGACTTTAATAGAATTGAATGAATGAATGACATGAATTCCGAAATAATTCAAACGACAATTTATTTTGAGGAAGAAAGGGCCATTATTTTGTGATTAAATCTACCTGAATTTTATTTACTATGCAGTTAACATTGATTTGTTAAAAATTTTCCACTTTTTGTTCTCAAAAGAAAACACAAAAAAAATCTGAAAAATTCAAACAATTCATAAAATATTTCATTAGATTCATTCAATTTGAAATGAATAAGAACAACATTCAATTTATTTCACATAGAATTGAATTAAACAAATCAGAAATTTCATGGCATACTATGATAAAACAAAAATTGAATGATTCATGCAGGGCTCTATTAAGTACACACAACAAAATAACTTTTAAACTTCTCGGAAATCTTTAAAGGTGTGGGCGCCAGACACATTTTAAAATCGTTAGCGGGCGATTGTGGGCGTTAGGGGGGGCGTGACGCTGAAATAAACTTGCAATGCGTAGAAAGCCCAAGAATATGTGTGGGAAATCTCAACCTTCTAGCTTTTGTAGTTTCCGAGATCTCTCCCTTTTACTCTACGAGTAACGGGTATAAATAGTATATTTCAACTCATTAGTCTTACCTGCAGAATACAGTAACCGCCGTTCTTCTTTTTCTTCAGGATCTCCAGAGCTTCTGGCTCGTAACCCGCGGCAATGATGCCATCCGAGACCTCGCGTGAGATGATCCTGGCGGTGACCACATCGCACACATCGGACAGGGCCACAAAGTCGCCGAAGGAGCTCATGCGGTCGGCTCCACGTGCGCGGGCATAGGCTGTAGCCAGGGGCGTCAGCTGCTCGAACAGATCGTCCACCATGCAGAGCTTGGCCTGTGCCGCATTGAGGGGCACTCCCACAGCCGCTCCCGCAGGAGACACATGCTTGAAGCTGGTGGCCGCCGGCAACTGCAAGGCCTGCTTGAGTTCCCTTACCAACTGCCAGCCGTTGAGGGCATCACAAAGGTTAATAAATCCCGGAGAGGCATTCAGAACCGTGAGAGGCAGCTTGGCCAGCTGGGTGTACAACTGGGCGGGCTTCTGGTGAGGATTCATGCCGTAGCGCAGCGGCAACTGGGACATTCCCGATCCGTACTGCCTCCGGAAATAGTCCGAAATGGCATCATCGTAGCTGGCCGTGTGGGTGAACGCCTTGAGGGCCAGAGCCTGTCGCGTGTCTAGCGTGGTGTCCCCCGAAGCCTTGAGCTCCGCCAGCACACGATCGTAGTCCACTGCCTCGCAGACGACCGTGACGCGCTGGTGATTCTTGGCCGCCGCACGGAGCAGCGTAACACCACCGATATCGATGTTCTCCACAGCATCGGCCAGCGTTACATCGGGTTTGGCCACTGTGCTGGCGAAGGGATAGAGATTGCAGACCACCAGCTGGACGAGATCGAAGCCCTGCTTGCGCATGTCAGCCAGATCGGAGTCGGTGGTGCGGGACAGGATGCCGGCGTGCACGGCGGGATGCAGCGTCTTCACACGTCCGCCCAGCATCTCCGGGGCTCCGGTAATCTCCGAGACATCCTTCACTTTTAAGCCTGCACCACGCAAACTGGTGGCAGTGCCTCCACTGGCCACCAGGTCAAAGCCCAGGGCCACCAGACTCTTGCCCAGGTCGAGCAGACCCGTCTTGTCCGACACACTGAGGAGAGCTGAGGAGGAAGAGAAAGCCTTGTTAGTCATCCATCTGAAGGAGGGTTCCCTCATGCAGAGTCTGCATGAATGGATTCAATGAATTATTTTGAACTTTTCTTTTTATATGAATGCATTAATTCGAATTTTGAGTTTTTTATTTTTAAATTGAATGAATGAATGGCATGAATTTTGAAATAATACAAACGACAATTTCTTTTGAAGCAGAAAGGCTCATAATTTTGTGATTAAATCTGCCTTAATTTTATTTACCAAGCAGTTAACATTGATTTGCTAAAAATTTTCCACTTTTTGTTCTCACAAGAAAGCACAAAAAAATCTAAAACATTCAAAAAATTCATAAAAATTATTTATTCATTCATTCAATTCGAAATGAATTAGAAAAACATTCAATTTATTTAACATTGAGTTGTTAAAAATTTTCCACTTTTTGTTCTCAAAAGAAAGAACAAAAAAAATGTGGCAAATTCAAAAAATTCATCAAAATTATTCATTCAATTCGAAATAAATTTGAAAAGCATTCCATTTATTTCACATAGAATTGAATTAAACAAATCAGACATTTTTCGGGTTACTATGATAAAAATTGAATGATTCACGCAGGGCTCTAGTGCAGACTCACCAATCTTGCTGGAGCTCATGGTTGATGGTTGGTTTCTCTGCTGGCTGCGTCTGAACCGCTGGGCAACTGAAATGCAAATGAAAGACGAGAACAGTCAGTGGGCGATTGCGATCGGTGATCGGTGCACAAACATGTTTACGCGTTTTCGCTTTTCTGGCTAGGCAACGACCTCCCACTTGCGGTCTATGGTCCCCATTGGCGAGGTGTAGGGTTATCAGATACTCCTCAAGCCGCTTGCATCAGCAGGGGAATTGGGATTGAAAACAACAACAAATGACTCAAATTTACGTAGGTTCATTTATTGCCAAGCCGCGACTGGTTTTACAATTCCTTATCAGTATCATTGACTTGGCTGAGCCTCCTCCTCCTCCTTCTCCTCCTCCTCTCCCTTTTGCTTCTTTGCTTGAAGTGGATCCCTCTCCTTCTTTCGCTGCCCCTCCTTCCTGCGCTTATGTTTGTTGGACTTGAGATGCAGTCCCCATTGGAACTCCCCGATGAAGTGACGTTCGCAAATGCCGCAAAAGTGGCTGGTCTCCTCATCCAAATCCGCTCCAGGATGTTCCCTTTTAGACATTGGCTTAATTTCGCATATCTCCTCATTCCGATAGGTCTCTATGATGGTCTCTGCCCGCTGATATACTTCCTCCTTCCAGGCTGCCACATCACTGGTGTCCAGTTCAAAGAGATCTGGCACCTGACGATCCTTGCTGGCCAGGAACCGATTGTTAATCCACTTCAGCTGTTTCTTAGAGTAACGCCTTGTTACCAGCTTAAGTTCTTCGCAGCAACTGCGTAAGAGATCGAGGCCTTCGGGAAGACCCTCTTCTTTCAGTTCTTCTTCACTTGGTAGCTTGTAATTATGAGACTGAAGGTACTCTTCTATTTGTTCATCCTGCTGCTGGTCATATTTCAGCAGGTAGGGAACGAACTCCTTGTAACCAATGGTCTGCAGGACACCGGAGGTAAAGGCCTTAATGGTGGTAACCTGGTGGGCATTGTGGAACTGTCGCAGTTCACGGAGGAGTCCTTGGGACAGCATTCCATCTACTCGGGAGTCCAAGCGGGCATTTAGCACCTCCTGTTGGCAGCGCAGCCACAAAAGGATGATGTGGGGATAGCGAAGGGGTCCGCCTAGGCGGTTTCCACCTGGCTGTGCTCGCTGCTCCTCCAACTTCTGGGTTAAAGTCTGCCCGGTGCTTTGATAGACTTCGATGGCCCGGATGATCTTTCGCCGGTTGTTGGGATGGATACGGTTGGCGCTACCGGCGTCTATCTTGGTCAGGTGGTGATGTAGGTCCTGGGTAGTCATGTCATCCATATCGGAAGCTTTCAGATACTCCTCCAAAGGTTTCCCTTCACTTTGCTTCTCCTCCGAGTCCACCAGGACATCCCAGAGCAGGGATTCTATGTAGTAATTGGTGCCGCCCACTACAATGGGAGGAGATGCCTGGGAAAGCAGGCGCTCCACGATCGGCAGAGCGGCATTGCGAAAGTGGGTGACGGTGAAGGGTTCCGCCGGGGTGGCCACGTCCAGCAGGTGGTGTCGTGCCCGCGACTGCTCCTCCTTGGTGGCCTTGGCCGTGGCAATGTCCAAATGGGTGTAGACCTGCATGGAATCGGCGCTGATTATCTCGCCACCGAAGCGTTGGGCCAATTCCAAGGAGAGCTTCGTCTTGCCGGTGCCCGTGGAGCCGAGAATCACAATTAGCGGCACCTTGCGAATCATTTCGGCTTTATTTTAGCCAATTGAAATCAATCAAGGTAAACAAAACACACACGTTTTTGAGCACGTGTATTCCTCTGGGTACCAAACCACCTGTTGCCGCCAGCTATTTATAGCGATTTTACAACTATTAAGAACTCCTTCTCCAACTCGCTTATGAATAGTGTATTATTCTTAGAAAATAAGCTTATTTTGTGTCCTAAACTTGCTTGTTTAAACTTACAAATCGCGAAATAAACGAATAAATTGAAAGTGACAAGTGTGTCCACCCAAGATTCTGCTTTACACTATAAGAATCGCGTTGCCAACTACTCTTGTGATAAGGGGAACAATGTTGCCTTATGAAATTTAGATTGGGCGGGTGATTTAAACTGGTGTTCTAAGTGCAATCCATTTTTTAAAAAACCAAAACGCATTAAAAAATGCCAGTACCTAAAAATTAACTTAAAAGTAAGGCTCTGCATTAAATTATTATTATTAACATTATTATAATTTTTAATTTTTTGTACATTTTTTGTACTAAAACTTGAAATGTGTTTAATAAAAATGGTCAATTTTATTTTTCATTTTTGAATATCTTCCCCATGCGATATATCGCCGCAATGATTCCACACAATTTCGCCCACCGCTAGGCGCTCGTGCCATCGCCAATTCTCCCGCTGCAGTGTGACCAGAAGCTACGTGCCAGGTCAATCCCGCACGGGCACCTAGTATCGTATATCTTTCGTGCATTCTTTTAATTTACCTGCAGTGAACAACAAAATTAGATCAATCAATTCGCTTTGATATCGCACACTAGCTGGCACAGCGGAACACAGGGCGGACAGAAGGCTCGGATCGGCTTCTTTTGCACATTAGCCGCACGGTGCGACTTTCACTTTTTACAATTCGCACAGGAAAAACAACAACGACAGCAGTAGCAGCAAAAAAGACAACAAGAACAACAAGGGCGGCCAGCAGCAACAAAAAGAAGAGACAACGAAGACGAAGAGCGATGAGTGTGGAAAATACCAGAGCGGACAACATCAGGCCACAGAGTGCAGCGAGAATTGTTTAAAAATCGGTGGATTGCACGGCAAATGCAAAGCGAAATAACAATAACAAACCAGCACAACAGGGCCGCCTGTGTGTGTGTGCGTGAGCGGTAGAGCGAGTGTGTGCGAGTGTGAGAGCTCCAGCGAGAGTGCCACTGTGTGTGTGAGTACATTGAGTACATTTTGGGGGCACCGCACCGAAACTTTGTGTGTGTACGTGGTTTGGATTGGATTCGCCAACGGAATTGGGTCAGCTCGTCAGAAATCCGCCATGGAGAGCAGGACCCAAGTGAATCAGACGAGCCAGCAGCAGCAGCAGCAGAGGAACCGCCTGCCCTCCTCGCCCAGTCCGCCGCTCAGCGTGAGTCTCAGCGGAGGCCCCAATGCGAACACCACTTTGATGGGATTGGAGCAGGAGGCGGGGCCTGCCGCCTCCCAGCTGGGTAGCAGGAATAACAACAACGGGGGCGGCGGTGGCCACCATCGCAGCCACAGCATCACCAATGCGGCGGCCACGTCCTTTGTGAATCTCCTGGACGGATTCACGGCCCGCGTCTCCACCGCGGTGAGCGTGGCCGGCGGCACCAGTGCCTCCAACATGCTGATGGACCGCAGCAGCCAGAGCGCCGCCAGCACACCCGGATCCACCCACTCCATAGCCAGCTTGACCAGCATGGGCTCGCTGGGCACCACGGCCAATGCCCTGTACTCCTCCATCGGCAGTGCCCTCAACTCCATCACCTCCCCCATTCAGGCAGCTGCGGCGGCGGCCACGGCCACAACCACCGAGGTGGTGGTGGCGGCCGCCTCTGTGATCACCAACCACCTCAGCTCACCCACCAGCGGCACTCCACCGCACGGCCTCGATGTGGACGAGGGCGACGACGAGTGCGACGACTGCGAGGAGGACGAGGACGATCCGGTGGACAACGACGGGCACATTGCCGCGCCCACGCCCAACAAGAGCTGGGCCGAGAACAAGATGGTGGTGCAGGAGATGCGCAAGAAGATGTGCAACCTGTCCTCCATGGTGCCCACCAATGTGCAGTTTCGCCATCTCTCCGACGGTCGTGCCAGGTGCTACTTCCTGGGCACTCCGCCCCAGAGCTGGGAGACCACGCTGCTCTATGCCGACATCAATCTGCTGCAGTCGGAGGAGCAGCAGCTGCTGGTGCAGCGCCTGGAGGCGAGTGAATCGGGTGCCGGGAGTCCCACTTTGAGTGCCGGATCCCCAACGAGCAGCAGCCACCAGGCGGCGTTCCTCTTCAACTCCCTGCTCAGGCCAAGGTGGGTTAATCCTCTCTAATTCGTTACCTAGAACTAATTTTCCATTTATTTCACAGACTCCCTTGGAGTCCTCTGTTGCAGCAGCCCATTCAAAGCAGCGGCGGCAGCGGAGGCAGTGGATCGGCCAGTCCCTATGCCCGGGAGTTCCAGCTGCTGCAGGAGCGCAAACGCCTCTCCACCTGGGGAATCACCTGCTACGAGCTGCACAAGCCCTCCGGCAAGCTGGTGTTTCCCTGCTTCAACGACCTGTACCAATGTTTGGACACGGGATACAATGTGAGTACAAAGATTAGATTTTAATAATAAATCTCACTATTTAATTCTCTATCCAACAGTCTGGACTGCTGTTTCCCACGCAGCTACGCACCTGCCCGCAATGGACGGCTCTGGATCCGCAGATCTGTCCACAGAACTCCGACATGATAGCCTACATCAGCGACTGCGACCTGTTCGTCACCCACACGCTGAGCGGGCACGAAAAGCGACTCACCTACACGTCCACTGGGCGACACTCGTATGTGGACGACGCATTGAGTGCCGGCGTGCCCTCTTACGTGATGCAGGAGGAGTTTAGCCGCTACCAGGGCTTCTGGTGGCAGCCACATTCCAATGACGGCATCTATCGCATTGTCTACGAGGAGGTGGATGAATCGGAGGTCTCGGTCTACACGTTCCCCTCGTCAACAGCCGTGCACGGCAGGGTGGACGAGTACCGCTTCCCACGCACCGGCAGCCCCAATGCCAAGTCAAAGCTCAAGCTCGTCCAGTTCGTACTGAACGAGGCACTGCAAGTCAGCGAAATCGCCATCAAGGATCTGCCGTACTCCCTGCTGGCCGTTTTCAGCTGGCTGGAGTACATAGTGCGTGTCGGCTGGACACCGGATGCTAAATAGTGAGTATATCGTTGATCGTGAAGCATTTTATTAGCTACAAGTCGAATTTTGGGATCATTTTTTGTACTAATTTGTACCTCACACGCGGCTCCTAATTATTTTCTTAATTAATGTGATTTTTTTAGATTTTTATGTCTATCCGTTCTGGGTGGAATTTGCTACTGACCGTTTTTTAGAGGTCGAATTTTATATTAGTTTAGATTATAATGTATATTCAAATGCTAAATATAAATAATATGTGGCATTCTTTTATCTTTCCAGCGTTTGGGTGCAAGGACTCGATCGCAAGCAGCAGCGTCTGGATGTAATCCTAATTCCGCTGGACAACTTCTGCGAGTCCTACAGCAGTCAGGTGTCCACGCCGACCGACTCCATAGGCGACCACAGCTGGCGCAGCCTGTATAGTCGCACAATCACACCGCTGCAGGTTATATACACGGAACGTTCGGAGAGCTGGATAAACGTGCACGATATGCTTCACTTTCTGGAGCTGACGGAAACCAGCGTCACCTTTCTGTGGGCATCTGAAGAGACGGGTTTCCGGCACCTTTACTTGGTCACCGCCAGCCTGTTGCTGAGCCAAGCAAATGGCCAGGCGGACGCAGGATCGGCTGCTGCCCAGCCCAGTTTCGTGGAACAATCGGCACTACAGCCGCGTATCCTCAACAAGGTGGCTTTGACCAGCGGAGAGTGGGAGGTGCTGGCCAGGAATCTCTGGGTGGACAAGCCTAATAAACTGGTGTACTTTGTCGGATTGCGCGATACGCCGCTGGAGAAACACCTCTACGTTGTCAGCCTGGAGCGGCCCGAACATATCCGCCTGCTCACGGAGCCAGGATACTCCTACCTCGTGGAGTTCGATGATGTACGTATGATTATAATCATAACTTAAGATTTATTAGGTTTTAATGATGCCCAAAAAAGTAGGCTATACTGTAAATCCAAGCTTAATCTTAAGATTAAAGTTTGTTATTATTTACTTTCCTTTTTTCTTACAGCAATGCCAGTTGATGTTGCTGGTCTATTGCAACATTCAGCGGCTGCCCAGTTGCAAGGTGATGCGCGTTAATCAGACATGCTCAAACGGCGGAGTCAACGGCATTCAGATATCACTTGTTGGCTATCTTCACGAAGGCGGAAAGCCGGAGCCCCAGTACTGCCCACAGATTTTCCGACCCCAATTACCGTCGGGAGATATCGTTTATGCCATGGTCTTTAAGCCGCACAACTTTGAGCTGGGTGTCAAATATCCCACGGTGCTCAATGTCTACGGAGGACCCGAGGTGCAGACCGTTAACAACACATTTAAGGTATTATTACAAGCTCTATTTAAAACTACTTGCTTTTGATCTAAGAACTTCTTCGGATTTATATAATTTCCTAGGGAAAACATCAATTGCGAATGCACATGCTGGCCGCCCAGGGATATTGTGTCATCTGCATTGACTCGCGAGGATCGCGGCATCGAGGCAAGCGATTCGAGAGCCACATCCGCGGACGGATGGGTCAGGTGGAGCTGACCGACCAGGTGGACGCACTGCGCATCTTGGCCGACCAGCTCGGCTACATTGACATGGATCGCGTGGCCATTCACGGATGGTCTTACGGTGAGTTATATCTGTTATTATCCACTTATCACCAAAACGTATTTATCGGTATATTTGCAAATATTTTCATTGCTAATTGTAAACGGCTTCGTAGATAGTAGATTTTCATAGTTATAGGGGGAACTATAATGCAGATTCTATAATCTAATCAACAAGCAAGTCATTCTGAATTTGCAAAAAGATATACAGAATGTTTAAGCCTTATCTATTAAAGAACTTGAAATATCTGGATTTTAATAATATTTATTAGTTACAAATAATAAAACGATTTTTATTAGATCTTTATAAATTTTTCTGTAATTTTAAATTTCTAAATTTACATTATTACTGCTAACATTCCGACAGGTGGCTATCTGAGCTTGATGGGCCTAGTTCAGTATCCGAAAATCTTCAAAGTGGCCATTGCCGGGGCGCCGGTCACCAACTGGGAGTATTACGACACGGGCTACACGGAGCGATACATGGATCTGCCGCAGAATAACGAGGCCGGTTACTCGGCTGGATCGGTGCTCGAATACGTAAACTCATTTCCCGAAGAGTGAGTAGAAGACTGGTGTTTTAGAGAAAGAGATTTTTTAATAACTGACATTTTTCCTTCAACCAGGGACAAGCGCCTGCTGCTCATTCACGGCCTGATCGACGAGAACGTGCACTTCTGCCACACATCTCGGCTAATCAGTGCTCTGAACAAGGCCAACAAGCCGTATGAGGTGCATCTGTTCCCCGAGGAGCGGCATTCGTTGCGTAACCTGGAATCGAATAAAAACTACGAAACGAAATTACTGTCATTCTTGCAAAACTTATGAGATTCGTAAATGTCGACGGCCGAAACAAGATCGCTTGCTAAGGCTACACAACTAGCCCCGCCCCCCGCCCTGGCCCCCTTGCAATAGTTTTTTACATCATTGTCTTTGTTTTTATTTAACTTTTTGTTGGTCGAACACTTGTTTTTATTAGATAAAGAAAATGAGAGCAAAAGAAATTTGTATCATATTTTTAGCATACTTAATTTATAAACACTCGCAGTTGTAAGTATAATGAAAAGTTGAATGAATGAAAGTTCTCCACGCCCCCCGTGTGTGTCCCCCTATATTAGACTCTCCAGACCAAGCAGCTTACTGTAATTAATTTATACGTTTTAATTTCTCCCACACATCATACTCTTAATTATGTTGTTAATTTGCGCAAATGTACATTTCTCCTGTCTCTAATTATAAGTTGTGCTTAGTGCGTCTGTACGAATATGTGTGATTGTCTGCGTAAGCGTTTCCCCAAAAACGGAAGAAAAAACCTTTAACTTGTCATGCCTTCGGGGCAGGCCATCAATTACTGTTAGTTCTACGCATGCATATAAAGATATATCTCTTCGATAAACCATTAGCAAGACATATACATACTTGAATGAGTTTTTAGAAACACACGTTTGGCTGAAGCAACAAAAAACTGAATAAACTTTAATATTAATTATGCCTATATATAATCATTAGTTTTACAACTGATACATGCAAACGTATATATATATTTTGTTTAACAATTAAATAAACAGTTGTGTGTAAAATCTGGTTGTCTTTGTTTTCTTGTTATTTTTGGGAGGTTTTTAAAGATAAAGTTAATATGAAAATATTAATATGTTAAAATAAAACAAAATTATCATGAAGTAACCGTTTTAAATGAGTCAAGTTATGGATTTTGAAATACGGTTCTAGATAACAAAATGTTTTTAAAGGTATAATATTTGTTGATTTTATTAGAAGGTTCTTACTCAGGAAAGATTGATTAAAATAGAACTTATCATAAGAATACAAATATTTTAATGCATGCATTTAATTAATAATCAAATAAGGAATCTCAAAAAGGTATTTTATCATTAATAAATATTATTAACCATACAAAGGCTATCTCAACAGATTTATTAAATATAACATATTCAAATAAACCGCCCTCAGACGGCCTACCCCCAATATTTTCCCTACAGAGGTGCATTCCAGCCGATTTCCGTTGCACACTCAAACGCCGCCGCACGGTCACACTGACTATCGGTGCATCTATCGCAGGGCATCTGGCGGTGTTTTTTCAATCTTCTCTCAGTGCTCTTCATCTCTCCGGCCAAGCGCCATAACTCCATAACTCCACAAAACTCCAGCCGGAATAGAATTGTGAGTTTGTGTGACTACGCTTGAAACCTTGAAACTTGAAATTCAGCAGCAGCCTTCGAGTCGAGTTGTAGCCGCCACAGACACCGCAGCAACGCTAGCGAGGGACAGACAGCAAAGTGGAGGAGGACTTGCGCCGCCGCACTCGCAGAACCAGAAGAACAACAACAAACGACGAGTGCGCTCACACACAAGCAGGCGATCAAGGCATTCAAAATGGCGCCCACAAAGGCAACAACGCGCGCGGCCATCGCCGGCGGGCATCATCAGCTGCAGCAAGCGGGCGGCGGGGCGGGTAATCCGCTCCTGGCCCTGGGCGCCGTTGCCACCAGGAAGGGCCTGAGCCGGAGGGCCGCCGCCACGGGGAACATCGACCCGAATGCCGAGAACATGCAGACGCGCGCCAAACGCAAGGCCGACCACAGCCCCATTAAAAATGACAAAATCAAGCGCTCGGCGCTGGGTAACCTGACCAACAATGTGAAGATCATGACACTGCATCCGGGACAGGATGAGGAGCAGGCGGGCGTGGGCAAGAAGCCGACGGCCCAGCAGCTGCAGGCCCTGTTGGATGCTAAGAAACAGGATAATCTGGCTGTGAATGTCTTTGCCGCCAGCAAGATGACGACGCGCGCGTCCAGCAAAGTGGACGATTCGGTGGAGAACTGTCACAAGGTGCTGGACAAAATCGAGGAGGCGCTGGCCAGGCCCAAGCCGCGTCCCAAGGCAGTGCCGGCGGCGAAGAAGACGGCTCTGGGCGAGATTCAGATGCCGAATCCCATGCAGATACCCGTGCTGCTGCCGCCCATGCACAACCTGGTCGCTCCACCGGTGGCCGCCATCAAGCCGGTGCGCCGGATCTCCAATGACTTCAACAAGACTGAGGACAGCCTGTACATGTCCGCGCTGGAGGATGTGTCCAGCTGCGACTCGATGCGGCTGTCCGGCAACTTTGAGGCCGCTCGCCGTCGCTCCGCCAAGCTGCAGCACAGGCCCGAGCAGCAGCAGCCGCAGCAGCCGGTGCTGCTGACCCTTCCAGAGACTGCGCCCAGCCAGGTGGTGCCCATCCTGCCGGTGCCCGAGGATGTGGAGGACTTTGACCGCAAGAACTGGGACGATCCCTTCCAGGTGTCGCACTACGCCATGGACATATTCAACTACCTGAAGGTGCGCGAACCGGAGTTCCCCATCGCCGACTACATGCCCCGGCAGATCCACCTGACCACCTGGATGCGCACGCTGCTGGTCGACTGGATGGTGGAGGTGCAGGAGACATTCGAGCTGAACCACGAGACTCTGTACCTGGCGGTGAAGATCGTGGATCTGTATCTGTGCCGCGAGGTAATCAACAAGGAGAAGCTGCAGCTGCTGGGCGCCGCTGCCTTCTTCATCGCCTGCAAGTACGACGAGCGACAGCCGCCGCTGATCGAGGACTTCCTGTACATCTGCGACGGGGCCTACAACCACGACGAGCTGGTGCGGATGGAGCGGGAGACACTGCGCGTGATCAAGTACGATTTGGGCATTCCGCTGTCCTACCGCTTCCTGCGGCGCTACGCCCGCTGCGCCAAGGTGCCCATGCCCACGCTGACTCTGGCCCGTTACATCCTGGAGCTGTCGCTGATGGACTACGCCACCATTGCGTTCAGCGACTCGCAGATGGCCTCCGCCGCCCTGTTCATGGCCCTGCGCATGCACGGCGGCCCGGGGCAGCTGGACACGAAGACCTGGAGCTCGACGCTCGTCTACTACACCGGCTACCAGCTGGCGGAGTTCGCGGAAATTGTGCCCGTGCTGAATGCCGGACTGCATCGCAAGCCGCGGGCGACCATCAAGACGATACGGAACAAGTACTCGCACAAGATATTCCACGAGGTGGCCAAGGTGCCGCTGCTGACGAACCAGGAGCTCTTCCAGAGCAACCTCGACCTGAACGAGAGCAATCTGTCGTAGGACAGCATCAAAGTTTAGCCAAATTCACCACGAGCTGCAAAATGTTACGCTTCACCTAGGCACTAAAACGCTTCAGTTCCCCAAAGCAACCCGTTCCCGGCTCAAATCGGAATAGACGAAACAGCGGTTCGCCCGCCTTAATCGAAAACCTAGCCCCTGATCTTAACTTAACCCTAGTCCCTAGTCCCTGGTCCCCGCCAAGTCCTCACATTCTATTATATTTTAATTATTATTGTGACCTTGCATTATTGACATGTTTTTGCATAAATATTGTGTTAAGAGTGCTTTTTGTTTCCTTTGCCATGTATCATTGTTTAGTTTTCACATACCGCATACGTACCCTCATACTATCAAGCTAAACAGGAAAAGCGAAATTATCTCTAGCAACCACATTCGCAAAACGATTCATGTTTTAATATATACGCTAGTTTTAAGAGATGCCAGCATTAAATAAACCTAACTCGTAAGCCACCAAAGCAGACATGGATCGCCAAGTAACTTATTCTACCCAGATACAGATACCCAAGCGCAAGGATCCGCATCCGAAACGACTAGCAAAGGCACGTGTGTCCTGTACAACCTGGAAATGCGCCGCGATCAACCCTCGTCCTGTGTGTGCCATGTGCATCTGTTCCTGTAGTCGTTGTTAATGCTGTTATTTGTTAAGCCGTTCATGGACTCCCCCCAGCCCTGTTCATACCCTCATATCCGCCGGCTCTCCATTTCCACCACGCCCCTCCTCAACTCCCCGCATCTCCCCATGAACGTTGATAACGTTGCATTGTTACAGTAACTAGTTATGTATGTATTCAGTGTTATGTATGTATCGTTTTTGCCCAGAGAATACCAATAAACATTTTTACGTCCGTTCAAAAATAATTACAATTTCTTGATATGAAAGTGGGAACTAAGGAATTAGCTTAGAGCATCAGTATGCATTTGAAAATGTATTAAAAAGCAATATTAAATTACTTAATTATTACATATTTTATATTTTACAGAAAACCTGAAATTATATAGACTGGTGGAAGTTTTCAAAATGATAAATCGGGTATGTATCCGTTTTTCTTCTGTACAATCTTAAAAACAAAGAATTTATTTAATTAAGGGATAAATTCAAATATTTAAAATCCCCTAAGAAGTACCTTTGAAATTATCCTGTGGAATAAGTTAATATCAATCTTAATTTTCAATGTCCTTTTATCAGAAATGTGTATACTTATTTCCTTGGAATCATTAATAGTCAAAGATGAGTCCATAAACTATTAGAGGTCAAAGGATATTGGTAAAAATCTGTAAAATCCAGACTACTTTTGGAATGAGTAAACCCATCCCCATCTATTGTTTAAGACTCCTCTCAGCTGTATTCTGTATTTGTATTCTTTTCTACGCTCTTCCTCGAACAGCTGATGGCTGATGACCTAAGGACATCAAACCCTGTCTGGAATCTGTTCGATTTGCTACAGGTAAAACCCACCGATATCAGCCGACCAAATCATTCACGTTTGTCTCTACACTCTCGGTTCGAGTTTCCTGCGGTTCCTTGCTTTTGGCGCGCTCTTCTGTCATTTTAGCGCCAAAAATTTGTTCAGGATTTGCGCGGCAGGCTGCGCATGCGCCGCAAGACATCAAGACGTCGTCCTTTGGATGGGTTTTCTTTTCTTTTTCCCTTCTCTCCTCTTCGGCTGCACACCGAATCCCAGCCGATTTATGTCGCTGCAGTTGGGCCTCAAAAAGGGCCTCGAATCGGTCTCCCTCTGACATCCTCTGATTTCCTACCACCTTTGGCTCGTCTAGAGTCCTGCGAGTCCTTTGTGTTTTCCTTTTTTTCGGCTGCCTGCCAGCCAGGTAGCTCCTGTCCCCTTCAATTGTGTCCTCGCCGAAGAAAATAATAGGAATAGGACCAGGAACAAGAAAAAGAATGGGAATAAGATGTGTATGCGTAAGGTTATCTGTCTGTATGGAAGCCGAATGCATGTGCCTTATTTTTTCCGGTTCAAGGTGCAACCGGGCGACTGGTAACTGGCCAGCATTGCTAATTATCTTGGTTGGGTGTGCAGAAATCAAGTTTATTTCGCCGAAGACAGCTGTCCTTGGCCTGCCCAAAAGAGGGAGCAGCCAACTTATGACTACGACTCGGATTTCCTCACGCCTTCCCACCTTCCCTCCTCCCCACCACCGGTAATCCCGTCCAGCTTCAGTAGGCCGGCGAGTTGAAGGCGCCGTTGTAGCCGCCCCCATAACCACTGCCATAGCCGAAGGCATTGTGGTTATTGAGCACTCCGAAGGGTCCCTTGTGGACTCCGTCCTCCTTGTACTCGGTGTTCATCGAGAAGTGGTGATCCCAGTGGGTGCGATCAGCGGCATTGTGATCCGGATAGCGATGGAAGTTCTGGTTGCTGGTGGCTGGAGCTCCAGGGACTCCTGCCACTCCAGGAACACCGGCTACTCCTTGAACTCCAGGCACACCGGCTACTCCCGGAACTCCTGGCTGAGCAACTGCACCGGGAACCACTCCATATGCCGGAAATTGAGCTGGCTGGGGATAGCCTGGATACTGCTGCAAGTAAACTCCTGGATAGGGATAGGCACCAGTTCCTGAGAAGTAACCAGGAGCTCCTGGCTGCTGCGGAGGAAGTCCAGTGGGATATGGAGCAGGAACTGCGCCCGCAGCTGGATAAGCAGGAGGACCACCAGCTCCTAAAAACCGCGGGAAGAAATGAATATCATATTTTAATAGGTATGATAAAATATGGAATCGTTTAAAACCAGTATTCACCAATTTTTCCAATTTTTTATAGTTTCTTAAACTTTCTATTTAAATTTTGGGAGATTATATATGATTTATTGATACGTTTCTTTAAGAATTGACAAGCGATTTTACCTGCACTTTGGAAACCTCCTGAAGATGACCCTCCCGAAGAACCTCCTGCAGATGGATACGGAACCGGAGCCTGTTGGGCTGGAAATCCTGGAGGCGGATAGGCCGGAAACTGGTGACCTCCTGTAATTGTTAGTGCCGGATTGGGTAACTGGTTGCCGGGGAAAACTATAGAGTTCGTACTGGCCACTCGTACGCCAGAGCCGCCCTGCTCATGGCCATGGGCATCATCGATGGATCCAGTGGCGCCCACGCCCGCGTAACCCGCTCCCAGCTGAGCTAATCCCGGATAGAGTTGCGAGTTGAGATTGGCCCGCTGGCGGTGGCGACTACTCGTTATGCCGCCCGTCAAAGTGGAGGCCAGGTTGAACTCCGTCTTCTGATCCTCCTGACTTTCGTCCCTGCTGAACTGAGATCCCCGACTGGAGGCGATCAAGATGAGGGCCAGAGCGGCGAATGCGATTCCCCTCCTGCTGGCCATGGTGTCTGTAGGTATACTAAACCCCCGAAGCTCTCGGCGCGTGTATTTGATGGTGAGATGGGATGCCATGAGAGCTTAGCTGAGTGTCTATTTTTGGGGTTATCATCAGGGGCTCAACGGCCAGATAGGTAGTCCCAGTCTCAATGAGTGCTATTTTCCGTAAATTGAATGAGAGATTTCACACTGCGAAAAATAATGGGGTTGCTAGCAGTTTAATTAAATAGTATACAAAGGTTATAGAATGAACAGAAAAAAACTAGTGTTTTAAATCATAGATACAAGAACTGAAATCATTTTGAATCTTAATAGTGCATAAGTAAAATAACTATTTTTTCAAGTGTTCTATTTCAATTTTCGGCTATCAAAAAGAGAAGCAACTAAAGACGCAATGAAATTGTGGGTATTTCCCAAGTGACTTAAAAACCATCCCAACATAGATGATAATTATGATCTGCTTTATATATAGAACGAAAGCTTTCTCAGACAACCTTGTTTACCAGTTCGATAGATTAGCGTTATAAACAATATATACAGCATTTGTTCCAGTAGTCAAGGTTCTTCCACCCGATTCCATTCATCTTTCTTATCGCCATGTGCAGCTGGCTATAAAAGCTGGCAGGGAACTGGGATTAAACAGCAAAATTAATCTAAATACCCCAAGATGCAGTTGTTCTCTGTGATTCTAGTGCTGATCCTGGCCAGTTTGGCCCACTGCCGTCCTACATTCGATAAGATCGCCGAGGCTTTTTTGGGCGCTCTGGATGATCAGCCAAAGTATTATCCACCGGGAGGAGGTTACCACCCACATCCGCATCCTGGACCAGGTCCACTTATCCAAGAGGGCTACGAACAGGGCTACGATTATCACTATGGAGGAGGCTACGGCTATGGGGGCTACCAGCAGACACATCCAGCTGGCTACGGATACTATCCACCACCTCGTCCGGCGCAACCAACCGCCTACTATCCTCCACAGCAGCATGGATACTACGCAGGACCCACTGCCCCTCCTCCTTCACCTGGCTACTATCCCCACAAGACGCAGGATTATTACGGAGGCGGTTACAAGCAGCGGGGTTACTAGCGTTCATCTGTCAGATACCCCGATCTGATCTCTCATCCAATCATCTGCTGTCTCATCTCTTTGTTTATGTGTAATTTATTAAAATCTTGTGATTTTCAACAACGAGCTCTTAGAACCTGTTTTGGAGTCGGCACAAAGGCGATCTTGAGTGGGGCAATTGCACAATGGTCTATGTGAATCGGGGAAATCCCTCGTCAAGAATCATCTTCTTCTCACATCGATGGGCGGTTGCGAAGGAATCTCCTCGCTGGGCAAATGGATATATCTGCTGGAACTGGGAAACACGATGGCACGCTCTTCGGACAACTCGACTGAGTGATTTGGCATGGGCTGAGGAACAGGCCATGTTGGATTTAAGGGCGTCGGTGGGTCTGGATTCTGGGGCGGCAGCAGCGGCGGTCGATTGGTGCCTATGATCAGGGTGTCCTTGGTGGGCTGCGTGGGTGGACGTGGCTGGAAGGTGGGATGAGTTTCCGCTGGCTTGGGTGTCGTTGTTGGTACAGTGGGTACAATTGGTGTTGGTGTTGTGGGAGTGGTGTTATCATTGGGATTGTTCCAATTCGTGTTGGGATCCGGCTGATCTGGGAAGCCCGGATTGTTGTTCCAATCAGGCGGTGGTCTAGGTGGCGGTCCCATTCCGCCGCCTCCCCAGCCCGGTCTTGGTGGCGGCGGTGGTGGAGGTCTTCCGCCTCCATTCCAACCTGGCATTGGTGGAGGTCCTCTTCCGCCGCCGCCATTCCATCCTGGTCCTGGTCTTCCTCCTCCGCCGTTCCATCCTGGTCCGCCTCCACCTCCGTTCCATCCTGGTCCTGATCCGCCTCCATTCCATCCTGGTCCTGATCCGCCTCCTCCGTTCCATCCCCCGTTATTCCAACCTGGTTGATCCCAGCCAAATCCTGGTTGATTCTGGTTGCCGCCAGTTGGTCCCCACTGCCAGCCTGGAGGCCAACCAGGAGGAGCTTGCTGTCGACTGGGTGGCCCGAATCCTGGCCTAGGCATTCCCATACCCCTCCGATTGTGACCCATTCCAGGCCTTCCTTGCTGCTGCCTTTCAAATTGCTGCTGCTGGCCGAAATTGTTATTGTTGTGCATGGCATTGAAGAGTCCATTGATTAATCCAAATCCGGGCAGTTGGGCGACCACGGTGACACCTCCGGCAGAGGCAACTGCTCCACCGGGTGAGGAAGCTGCAAACTGGGCAACGCACGAGTGGATCGAGATGAATGCGAAGAGCCAAGTGATCCAAACTGTCGAAGATCGCGTCATGATCGAGCAGTGATCACCGCGAGAGGCGGATTCTAACTGGGGGGGAATTTTTTCGCTCCGCCTATGCGATAATCGTAATGCTTGAGTAAACATTGGAAACCTGTCCGGCGATCGGTGAGAGAGTGATTAAGATGAGTGGCCTTACTTGGAGAGATCGGAACCGCTCTCTAACGGACGTCTCACAGCGATCACCACGATCATCCTCAAGCAAAAGGTAAACAAAGACCTTTCGCAGCTTAAACTCTCGGAACAAAAATATAATACGAGAGCTATGTACATTGTATAACAGTTTATGGAGAAAGAAATTATTAATAAAGAAAGAATGATCATTACAACTTATCAATAATTCTCTTAATAGATTTATGAATAATCCATAAAAAAAGAAAGAATGATCATTACAACTTGTCAATAATTCTTTTAATAGATTTAATAGGACCGATGAAGAAAGAAATTATGAATAATCCATAATAATAAAGAAAGAATGAAAAATAAATCCACTGTTAGTTTATAGTTATACCCGTTACTCGTAGAGTAAAAGGGTATACTAGATTCGTGCAAAAGTATGTAACAGCTAGAAGGAAGCGTTTCCGACCCCATAAAGTATATATATTCTTGATCAGGGTCACTAGCCGAGTCGATCTAGCCATGTCCGTCTGTCCGTCTGTCCGTCTGTCCGTCTGTATGAACGCTGAGATCTCAGAAACTACAAAAGCTAGAAGGTTGAGATTTCCCTCACATATTCTTTGGCTTCCTACGCAGCGCAAGTTTATTTTAGCCGAGCGCCACGCCCCCTCTAACGCCCACAATCGCCCACTAACGATTTTAAAATGGGTCCTGCGCCCACATCTTTAAAGATTTCCGAGAAGTATAAATGCAATTTTGTTGTGTATATTTATACCTATCGAAATGTAGAAGACATTTTTCAAATCGGACCATTCATTAAAAAGTTATACGCTTTATAAATTGTCAACATATATCTATCTCCCTCGCACTCTATTTAGCTGAGTTACGATTATTAGTCGGGACACCAACCCGACACAGCGTTCGCACTCCCTTTAGCTGAGTGACGGGTATTAGATAGTCGGGACACCAACCCGACTATAGCGTTCTCTCTTGTTTTTAACTATAAGTAAGAATGATCATTACAACTTGTCAATAATTATTTTCTGGCTTTGTATTTATAGCATATTTATATTCCAAATTATTTATGATAATTTAAGCTTGATTTAAATTTATGTAGTAGATTTTACACAGACATTTATCCCTTAATATAATATTGGAATTTGAACCTGACTTTATATTATGAAATCATGCCCATTTTAATTATACCTATAAGGTTTCAAATCAAGTCGCAGCTGAATGGAAGTTAATGCCTTTATTATGGATGGGGATGGGATGTCCGCTGTATACAGGCTACTGACCACTGATCGCTCAGTCTTCCAGTGAGTGGCGCGTGCTCCGCATGCTGATCGTGCCAATCCGTCTGCTATAATAAATCCAGCATAATGCATTGAGTTTGAATCGTCGCTTGCCCGTTGGCCGAGCTAATCTTCCAGAGATCCCGACCGTTTTTATGGGATAAAGAATACGTTAAAAAAGAAACCATTCAAATGAGCTAGACCACAATGTGTCACCACGGCTGCCCAACTCCGTTCCCCATTCCCATTCCCCAGGGTATAAATAGAGGAGAACTGCGTAGATGGACTGTCAGAACTGGAAGTGATTCGAAATAGAAGCAAGATGAGAGCCCGAGATTCCTTTTTGACAATACTCATTCTGCTATTCACCTGCTGTCTGGATTGGAGCAGTGCTCTGTTCTTCAAGTCTTGGAAGTCGGGAAAAGGATACAGCGGAGCTCAAAACTATGGTAGTAATGGCTATGGAAACTACGGTTACGGATATGGAAACTATGCTGGAGGATACGGCTATAACTATCCAGCTTATCCTGCATATTCTTCCTACTCATACCCATCATATTCATCCCACTCCTCGCACTCTTACCCAAATGGAGGACGAAAGCCATCCGGAAACCGTCAAGGACGCACCTATTCCCAAATAGCAAAAGTCATAAATCCAGCCCCCTATGTGGGTCCTGGCGGCAGTCGGTTCCTGCCTCGCACTCCTTACTCGCCTCTTTGGGGTTGAGCACTTCCTTATATAAGATCATGTTGTCAGCAGTATTAAGCATTAAAATAAAACCAGCGAAAGTTACATCTATCAACGAGTTGTTTAATTATTTTAAGCTCTATCAATCCGCTACTTGTGAGTACGTGTATATTAATCTACGATCAAAAGATTTATGATCACTGGCCGGCATTTACGGAGCGACGCGTTCAGTGGATCGCTGTTACGTGATTAAAATTTAAACGAAATGGAGGCGCGACATCGCTTTAGGGGGAGACACATGAGGGGCTGACTCGGATCTCCCGGTTATTGGGATACTGGGGTAAGGTCCCTGACTGGGAACTTTTACGAAGGGATTACTTGTGGGGAATTCCGCAGAATATTCATCATGTTTTGTTTAAAAATTTCTAAAACGTGTGCCATTAAGTTTTATTATCCATCTTAAGAGGGGATTCAAAGAAAGAATTAGTAAAGAACTTCTGGAGAGCATGAACAAACTTATTAAATTAAAGTAAAGAATTATCATATTCATAAGTGAACAATTTTAAGATTTGTAATTACGCATCGGATGCAATTTGCCGTCAGTCGAAGAAATACAAATTTCCCCTAATAAAAGCATTTCAGAAAAGTGGGAGAATTTTCAATGAATCACGATACTTTACTCTAAAAGTTTTGTTATTGTTATTTAACCCCTAAAATTCGTAAGAATTTAATTTAAACTTTAATAGGTTTGAGCGGTCGGTGCCTGATTGATAAGCCAGCGTCTTAGAACGGCAAGAACCGATTAGACGCGGATATCCAATAACTATAAATAGCCTGGTCACCGGTAGTATTGCAGTTCAGCACACAAAGCGAAGCACTTCTTACCGATGTTAGTTCAAGGAATTATCCATTGCCCCATGGTGGCCCTGCTCCTTCTCCTGTCAACCGTATCCGGATCCCCCGCCCGAGGACATCACCATCACCGAGACTGTCGCAGCTATAAGGATATCGCCCGAATCGTCAATCCCAATCAATACGCTTTCCCAGGATCTCGCATTTATCCGGACCAACCCTTCTGGCCATTTGGAAAGGAATAACAATATTTTATTTATTTATATAAAGAGGTATATTAGTGCAGAGACGCAATTTTAACAGCTTCATGGATGGCTATTAGCTCTCTAGAGAGAACGGAAGAGTAGTGGGGAAGGAGTCCTGTTTTGATTGCATTGGTTTCGCTGGTTACGCTTTAGCTGATTATACCGTTGCACCGTGGGCCAGAAAAATCAATTTTTTGCGATTTTTTCTTTTAATTTGAGATGATTTAGATAATCCAAACCAAAGACGGAAAATTTTACGTATTTTTCGGTTTATTATTTTTAACAATATAATTCAAAGTTATTGCTATGTGTTACTGCATTGGATGCAATTTGCTGTCAGTCAAGGAAATACAATTATTTCACAAACCCCCGAACGAATCATTGACTAAATTTCCCCTGATAATTCAGAAATCATTTCAGAAAAGTGGGAGATTTGCCAATGAATCACGAAATAATTTTAATAGTTTTGTTATTTTTATTTAACCCCCTAAAATTCTTAAGAATTTAATTTACACTTTAATAGGCTTGAGAAATTCCTTAACAGAAAAAGTTACCATTAATGTTCGGTTGAACTGTTGATTACCCAGGGCATCATCTGACTGAACTCATCATGGCTCACAAGTGTGGTATATATAGCCCCTTTACGATCTTTACGATCTTTATGTACTTGCGGGTGATTCAGGCCCAGTGATTCAGACTGAGATGCAGCTGCTCGCCTAGGACTTCCCCTCGTGCACCGGCTGTCATTGAGGAAGTAAAACCAGAAACCAGATCCCAGCCAGCATACAGGAAGGAAGACTTTGGCCCAAGTCAGTGGCAACAGTTCGCACCGAACATGGCAATTGTTTATGCAAGAATTTGCTAATACGCCGCCTCAGATGGCGCACCTACGTCATTACTTCAATCCGTCAGCGGCGCTAATTACAATTTAAATACGTACGAGCATTTATGCTGAGAGGCTGAGTCGAGCCGTACGAATAGAGCTAAATCATTCACCACGCAATTAGAGTCAAGATCAGGTGCTCAGTTCTACCTATATATGCTATATATGCCCACTCACGACCGATCGGTCGGTCGGTCGGCATAACGGGCTGCGGTGTGAATGACTTGGCGCGGGCACCGTGTCAGTAAATATTGAGAAAACAAAGTGATCATAAAAAGCCATATCGTACAAAGAGACGAGATCTACGTGAGCGGCAACGCAATTCTCCTGGGGTTTCGGTCGGTGCCAAAACCTGATTGATAAGCCAGCGTCTGAGAACGGCAAGAACCGATCAGCCGCGGATATCCATATAAATATAAATAGGCTGGTCACCGGCAGTATTGCAGTTCAGCACTCAAAGCGGAGCACTTCTTACCAAGCCATGTTAGTTAAAGAAATTATTAATAGCCTCATGGTGGCCCTGCTCCTTCTCCTGTCAACCGCATACGGATCCCCGGCTAGAGGATATTACCAGTCTCCACAGCGAGGCGGTCGCAGCTACACGGATATCGCCCGAGTGGTTAATCCCAATCAATACGCCTTCCCAGGATCTCGCACTTATCCGGGCCAACCCTTCTGGCCATCTGGATAGGAATAAATATATGTTATGTTCTATTAAGACATACACAAGACTCGACTCAGGATTAGCTAGACAATGAACTGTTACATTTTGTACCGGAAAATATTCAATAGGATTAAGTTTAAGTTAAGTTCCATTACGAGTGCGCCAAAAACGATTCCTATGGAATTTTGTAATTAAATAAATATTATAAAAAAACTATTAAAATAAATTGTATTTTCTTGTTTACAACGGTTTTTTTTACTTTTAGTTCTAAAGTTTCCCTGACATTACTAATAATTAGGTCTGCGTTAATGGATATAATTCATTAGCGAGTCACGCCCATTTTCTGCTGGTTCTGTTTCCCTAGAATACTTTATAGACACGAGAAACTATGAGTACCAACCAGAGTTAAAAAGGCAGTGACTTGGAAAGGATTACAGAAAATAAAACCTCGCTAAAGATGGCTAAACTGGAGTCAACATCCAATGCTATTTGGTGGATCAAGAATCCCAAGGCAGACAAGGAAAAGAAGTCTAAAAGTCTGCGTAAAACTTCCTTGGGTTCGGCTTTTTGCTTGGATATGGCGGATCTTCTGAGGAATATATCTCTTCAAGGATACAATAAGCTTTTGTCGCCGGACTTAACTTTGGGACAAAGGTAAGAAATGTTTTTTTATATTAAATATTTTAAATTTTAACTTGAAATGGATCAGATTGATTTGGTTGCTGCTCCACATGACCACCACCATCTCCCTGGTGGTGGTGCTTTCGCTCACCTGGGAACAGTTTGTGGCCCAGTCCTTTGTGACCAATCTAAAGGATCCACTTTATCCGGTGGAAAATGTGCCATTTCCTGCTGTTTCCATTTGCCCCAACAATCGCATTTCCCGACAGGCGGTCATTAAGTATGCTGAAGAACTGTGAGTATACCTAAAAAAAAAGATAGTGTAGTAATAATAATAACCCTTTGCAGAAGATTTAACAGCCCGGTGATTCGTCCCGTGGAATACTTTCTGGAGCGCTTAAGTTATTTCCGCCAGTTTTATATCAACGTGGGTGCAGTGGTGGACACCGATGACTTTGTTACCTTTCAGACCTTTCTCGATGTTTTTGGCACTTGGAACAACGAGACTTTCTTCGACACTCGCCGCATTATGAAAATGGTAAATAAACTAACGACTATTTAATATTGTAAATGGAAAGAGAACTTCTGTGTTCCTCAGTTAACCCCCAGTTGTCATGAATTCGTGCTAAAGTGCAGCCTGGCCAATGTGGAGATCCCCTGCTTCAGCAAAGACGCCTTTCAGGAGAGCCTCACCATGTACGGACCTTGCTGCACCTTCAATATGGAGAACAAGTAGGTGAAGTTTTCTCTAATGATTCGAAATAACACCCCTCCTCGCCAGATTAAAGAAACGCCATTTCAAGGATCGCCTGTCCAGGCCGGAACTTGGACTCACCGTAGTGCTGAATGACAGCCACTCGGACTACTTTGCCCCCATCCTGAATACAAATGGATATATTGTCATGATTCACAGTGCTGAGAATTATCCCTCGGTTAGCTCATCGAATGTGCTGGAGATGTTTCCCGGTCAGGGTGAAGATAGTTATTTATCTATCTATGCTCGAGTGGTGGACACAGATGACAGCTTGAAATCTTTTTCGCCTTTGGGGGTAAATTCCTTAAAAAATGTTTATATCATTTATATTTTTTTGAATACTATTTCCTAAAGCGACGCTGTTATTTCGACCACGAGGTTCAGAATCCAATCAACGAGCAGCTAATTACGACCTACACCTATGCCTACAGCTTCCCCAACTGCATCACCAGGTGCCGAATCCGTAGTATCATCGCTCTGTGTCGCTGTTTGCCCTTCCAATTGCCTCTTCAGCTGGTGGATAACCTCGATGGCGTCGTCTACTGCACATTGGGACATGTATCTTGCCTCAATCAGTACATGTGTAAGCAAGTGATTTGATCTCTCTGAATTCTTAGTGTTAAAAAAGGGATTAATTTCCAGTCAAGTGGCGTAATGTCCTGACCGAAAGGCATATAATTCTTGGCTTGGAGCGGGAAATTGAGGAGGCCCTATATTGTCCACAGTGTCTGCCTTCCTGCAGCGATGTGCAGTACGGGGTATCGATGAGTGCTCTGCCCATAGACAACTATTTGGCCACCCTGAAGGTGGATGAGAATAACCAGACGGAGTTCAGCACAGATATCTCCGTTCTTAGGGTTTACTTCGCCGATGCTCATGCCCAGTATTATATCCGATTGCTAAACAACGCCTGGTTCGAGGTGTTCAGTAAGTTTCGGACTATATTATTCCTCCTGAATATTACAATATGATATTCCACTTCACAGGTACCATTGGCAACATAATGTCTATTTTTGTGGGCTTTTCTATGGTGGCCATTTTTGAGATACTCTTCTTTCTAACCAAGTACATCTATGAGGGCTGCAATCGTATGTTGGAACAGAATTTAATCGACCGGAAGGCCAGGCAATTAGAAACTAACAAGCTGTACATCTGCCCATAGGAAGTAACTCGAGAGACAATCCTTGAAAAAATCACAGCTTCTTGAAAAATATGTCAAAAAATTTGTTTTATTTAGTTTTATATTTTTTGTTGTTTTGTGAATCTGTAAATGTTCTATACATGTTTCTTGTGGTTAGAAGTTTTGCCCCAACGAACCCGGGAACCAGGAGCCATTTTGGGTTTAATTATGATAAACAAGGAAGAGATTGGAATGTAAGGGGTGGTGAAAGACAATCGCCAATTGCTCTGTGCTCTCTTAATGTAAGCAACCCTTTCATAGATTATAATTTCCAATAATAAAAGCTATTCCCAAAGACCACTACATGTAATGTCCCTAAACTAAAGTTTGTAAATTACAATAAAATCTTGTGTGATCCCTTGACCGTGATGAACAATGGACTAACAGTCCTCATGAGGATTCCAATGACTGTGGAGGGAAAGCAGCCATCTCTTTGTATCAGCAGTGAGGGTGGAAATGTCTTCGAAGCTCAGCAGATGCACTTTCATTGGGGATCCGAACAGACCAAAGGATCCGAGCACAGATTGGATGGTGAATATTATGACGGAGAGGTGCACATAGTTCATAAGAATTCCAATTACAAAAGCAACCAGGAAGCTGCTCTTCATAGAAATGGATTTGCGATTTTGGCTTTGCTGATAACGCATTTAGAGGTGGGGAATTAATTAGTTAAATCTATAAAATATATTTTTATTTCCATTGAAGAATCCTGAAACAGAATCGCCAGCTATGAATGAGATCTGCAAACAGGTCTCTAAGATATCCGGACTGGATGATAGCCATTCTCTTGAAAAAAGTATGGCTTTGGAAGATCTTTTGATAAGCATAGACACCCACAAATATTTGAGCTATCAAGGTAGGTACGGATATCTTGAGGATTTTTTTTTTAAATATATCCCTGTAGGTTCCCTTACCACTCCTCCCTGCGCTGAAGCAGCCATCTGGTTTGTTTTTCCGACACCTCTTAATGTGCCCACGGAACTTGTAAGTACACAGGTTTTAGACCAAGTTGTAGTTAATTTTCTTTACCATCAAACAGTGGAAGAACTTTTGGCAACTAAGGGATTCTCGTCACCGGCGAATCCTCGACACCTATCGGGTCTTACAAGATGACCATGATCGACCTGTATATCTAAGTAAAGGCAAATAGGGGTATCATTCCACATAAAAGCTTAGTTTTAAAATAAGGTTTCCTATATAAGATTTTTAAAATTGTTTAAAGTGCATTTGTTGTTTTATGCAAAAGCTTACCAAGTGCTTGGATGGAAGCTTTTCGCCGGTCGACAGCTGATGGCGCCATCCACCCCCAAACCCAGCCCCTAAAATCCGGAATTGCATTTTCTATCTGCGTAGCGTAGCAAATTCAACTGGTGTCGAACGGATGTGATTTGGAAGGAGTAATGAAGCGTTTAACCGAGCGAGTGCACCACGAGGAGATCGAGTCCGAGGAGGTGGTCTGGGTGAAGCGGGAGGACGCCCGCTCCGCCAGCAAGCTGCCCATTGTCTTCTCGCGAAAGTATGCGGTGCGCTTCGGTGGCCTTGAACGCCTACATCCCTTCGATGCGGCCAAGGGCAAGAACATTCAGAAGGTGTGTAAGCATCCCTTAACTTCGTCTGGGCATCAGTTTATCCGCTATTCCATTACAGCTCCTGTGCGAGGAACTGCAGCTTGATGGCGGCAGCTTCTACGAGCCCCAAGAGCTGAGCAAGGAGCAGCTGCGTCGCATCCACACGAGGGATTACCTCAAGTCCCTGCAGTGGAGCATGAATGTGGCCTGCATTGCAGAGGTGCCGGTAATGGCCTTCGTTCCGAATCGCTACATTCAGCGTTCCTACTTGCGTCCCATGCGCTTCCAGGCAGCCGGCTCCATTTTGGCCGGCAAGCTGGCCTTGGATTACGGATGGGCCATCAACCTGGGCGGCGGATTTCATCATTGCTGCTCGTACAGGGGCGGCGGCTTCTGTCCGTATGCGGACATCTCGCTGCTCATCCTGCGGCTGTTCGAGCAGGAACCCTACCGGGTGCGCCGGATCATGATCGTGGACCTGGATGCCCACCAGGGCAATGGGCATGAGCGTGACTTCAGCAACGTGGCAGCCGTCTACATTCTGGACATGTACAATGCCTTCGTCTATCCGCGTGACCATGTGGCCAAGGAGAGTATCCGCTGTGCCGTGGAGCTGAGAAACCACACCGAGGATGCCTTCTACCTGAGGCAATTGAAGCGCTGCCTAATGCAGTCCCTGGCCGAGTTCCGTCCGGATGTGGTCATCTACAATGCCGGCACCGATGTGCTAAGGGGCGATCCACTGGGCAACCTGGCCATTTCCGCCGAGGGCGTGATGGAGCGGGATCGGTTGGTGTTCAGCACATTCCGTGCTTTGGGCATTCCGGTGGTCATGCTGCTGAGTGGCGGCTACCTGAAAGCATCCGCCGGGGTCATCGCAAGTTCCATTGTTAATCTCCGGCAACAGGGATTGCTAAATTAAAGGAATTAAATTATTTTAGACTTTACATTACCAAAGGAGTACCATACAAACTATTGTCAATTTTTTCCAAACGCATTTCCTTAGCTTTTTAGAGTAATACGAAGATAAAACGTTCTTACTCTAGTACAAATGTGCTGCTTTGGTAACAAGAAACATAACTATTCGTAAATCCCTTTCTGGTTGGCTTACCTCAACCGTGGGGATCTTTGCTGAAGGACCTGAGTAACCGAGAGCTGTGAATGAAAATGCATAACCTGATCCCTAAAAAAATAACAGATAGTAAGACATCGATTACACCTTATCAAAATTTATTAAACATATATAATTTAAAGTCGTTATAATAATTATTTGTCTTCTATGAAGTGATGATTTCAGATCATTAAGTTCAGTATCGCAATATATGCAGAAGGTATAAATATTTCCAGTGTTCTATGATTTATAGCAGTTTCTTGTCAATATATTTGTACAGACATCTCTTCCTTGGCATTCTCAGAGGTTCAATTTTGTTTATCCCTATGTACAATGCAAAACGGGCCGGACAAGTAGAAAGAATTTAGTCGCAATTGGTTAAATGTCTATAAATGTCTACAACATAGTCGCTAGAGGCTAATTTACTTGTTTAAAATACAAAAATACATATATAAATAAAGGTTTGCTTAACGGCTTAAATAAGACAAGTTAGAATATCATTTTAGTTTCTTTGTTAAGTCTGTCTTTTTGTTTTCACATCCTATTCAGCTGCCAATCAGCTCCGGCATAGACTCAGATTTGCTTGGCGATTTCCACTGACTAACAGGCCGTCGGACGCGGCAACCTAAAAGGGCACGCATAAATCAGAGATTTTAGTCGATCGATTTATAGGTAACTACTTTTAAAACTGTTAACGTTTATGCATGCAGAAATCTGTGGAATGAGCAGCTGAACGCAATGATGTCGTCGCTGTGGCAGTTGTGACATCAACCAAATAATCTAGAAACAATAAATCTCAAATAAATATTACATGGAAACAAAAACGAAAAAACTAGTCTCTAAAGATGACATGGGTTGTAGCTCCCCCAGAAACTGATGAGCAAATTGGCGATGATTAAGTAGTTGCATCTGAAGTGACTTACGCGGCATTGCTAGCCGGCAAATCCTCGAAGAGGACTTCCGATCGAGAGCTAATTATATACACCAGGCAGAAGGAGATGATCAGCACCACTATGCCAACGCTGAGAGTTGTGACCTGGTGAACGTTGGACGGACGCAGGAAGATGCGTGCACTGAACTGTGACCAGGTGGATTCAGTCCATGTCGAGTACTGGCCGGAGCTCCAATCGTAGCCTATAAAATATATTAATTTTGATATTATATCAAATAAGAAAGGGTTATCAAGGCTGACCATCAGTAATAAAAGCTGGACTCAGGGCGTGGCTGTAGTTCTGCGTGGTAAGGCGACACTCTCCGATGTTGTTGAAGCCGGCAAAATAGTGCAGCGGCAATTCGGTGCAGTTTTCTTGAGGAATGTCTGGCTGTACCTGCGACAGGAGATACCCCAGCATTCTGTATGTATAGCCGGAGGACTCTTGAGATCCGCCCAAGACGCTTATATAGCTAGTAAAAGAAAGAATGAACTTTAAATTAACAATTTACTGACGAAAAAGAAATATATTATACACTTACCGCATTGGAGGCAGGTTTGTTAACTGACTGCCCGGATAAGAGGCAGCTTTGAAGAGCGGACAGTCTGCCGATTGCAGGAAACAATACAGAAACTCATCAGCCAGCAGGGGATTGGCCACCTTGGTGCCCGTGTACTCCTTTCCAGTAAGTTTCTGATACAGGGCCATGGCCAAAATCGATGAAACGTTGCGCACCTTCATTTGCAGTGAATCTGCCTTCAAGGACTTAAAGTCGTTCACTTCCGCCAGCTGGGTGAAGTCCTTGCTTGTGTTCGCATAGCTGAAATCCACATTAATCCCATCATCGTAGATTGAGTGGTAATATTTGTTGGTTGGTCGTGCGTTGAGAATCAAAGCCGGGAAATTTGGATCGCGTCGCAAAAAGGACTGCGCCGATGTTGGTGGTAAGTGGGCACTCATTTCGGACTGAATGTTTAGGTTGAAACCATAGCGTGGCGACTTGCCATAGTTGTTCAGTTGCTCTAGAATTTCCTGAGCCAATCGAGTTCCTTTCAGCGCATGCAGCTTAATGTTAGCTATGTCATCCAGTGTGCCAATGTCCAGCATAAGTTCAATATTGTCAAAGGCAATGGGCGGGGTGCCAGTGGACTCTGAAGGAAACTGGAGTTTCTCCATATCGTAAACAAATCTCTGAGATCCAATGTAGTCGTATGATTCGCCATTGAAAGTCACAAAGAGCACATTCCGCAGGGGATCGGGCAGCGAACTTTGAGGCGGCAGAAGCTGTCGCAAGAGATACGCCAGCTGGGTAAACACGGCAAATCCCATGAGTGAGTCCATGGCTCCCAGACCTTCAAGTTAAGGGAAGAAATAAGTCAAGCATAGAATTCTCTTGCTTTAAAGTACACCTACCGACGCCATCGAACATGGTGGCGGTGTCCAGACGGCAGGAAACCAGTATGAACTTTTCATTCGTATGAACTATCTCAGTTTTGTTCTCCGCCGCTGGTTTTCGGGGGTACAAAGTGGCGTACACATTGCGTCCCTCGAGCGGATCGCAGTACTTGGTGCCGCCCAGGTTGTTGATAAAGTTTGTGCGCCGCATGCAGACCTCTGTGTTGACGGCGGCCGACATGAAGGACTTGACCTCGACGGCACACAGGCTGCGCAGTGCGTGCGTCTCGTAGTTGAAGTTGTTAAAGTCCTGGAAGCACTGCTCCAGCTTCTTCACCTCAACCAGGTCAGCAATGTAGTAGATGGGAAAGGGAAAGTCCTCGTGCAGTAGGCCGGTGCCCCAGGGATTCCAGTTCTTGGCCGGATTGCTGGCGTCGCAGGTCTCGCTGCTGCTGTTCAGGCCACTATACTGATTGGGGCAGTTGAGCTCGTGCGAGAACTGCTTCATCTGGTCCGTCCTGTTGATCAGAAGGACAACTGAGATGTTCTTTGGCCCAGCCTCCTTCAGTCGCATCAGGTTGCTGCGTGTGAACAGGTGAGGTGGTATCAGGGGAGCGTACGGAGGAGAAGGTGGACTGGTCAGCAGGAATTCCAGATCGGCCGGTACTTTAATGAGATGGAGTACGCCCACGGAACCGGAGTAGGTTGCTATTAGGGGGGAGGGATTAGAAAGGGGGTTTCTTAGGATATCCCCTATATATACTCACAGGTACACCCCGTTTGGTGGGTGCCATTCAGCCGGCGGAAGCAACTGGCTCCTCCTATGGGCTCGTACATCTTATCTCGCGTTCTTTCGCCCTGAGCTGCAGACAAAGAAAGTGCGAATTAGATGACTCAGGTTTATGGCCTCCATGGGTGCATTTAGACGACCCACATTGCCCTACTACAAATCCTTACCAATGGGAGCTCCATACAATAGTATCAGCAGCCATATTGCAGCCGCATTCAGACGCTTTTCCATCGAAGAATCCCACGAAAAAACAAGATTTTTTTCCAAATCTCCGGCGATAGTCGACGCTCAGCTGCATTGAAAAAAAAAACAATAGAGGGGAAACATCGGTGAAAACATCGTTCGACATCCCTAGTTTGTTTTTGGATTTCTGGAACAATTCAAAATGGTTTTACTTTTAGTTTTATTTCAATAAGCTTTTGTAAGAAATTTCAAGTCTGTGAAATGCTGAGTGTTACGAGACAGTTCTGTTAAACTTAACATTTGAGTCTGCTCAGCTACAGCTGGATTGAGTGCTTTTCGTATGGCCGTTAACAGTGCGCTTGAATTGGAGTGAAACTCTAATCGAGGTGGAGAAACATCGGTGAAAACATCGATGTTTTTGTCCCATCACAAAGAAATGGTAAATTGTTAAACGGCCACACTAAAACACTAAGTTAGCGGAGACACGCTCCTGATTAGGTTTTTGGCCAAAACGTTTTTTTAAAAGGATAATTATTAAATAAAACAATTTGGTTTTCTCAGCATACTTATTATTAATCTAAACATGATCTTGGCTATAAAACATGTAAAAACTTAGCATCTAGGTACCTAAAAGAGCGTGTCCTCCGCGCGAATATACTCGCCGATGTCCGACTGATGGAAGCAGACGGTGGTCATGGGATCGGCGGTCTTGCAGTCCGTCGTGGAGCGGGCCAGGACTCCGAATCCCAGGGGCAGATCGTTCATCGAGTACACCACCACGCCCTGGTACTGGCCGCCGTTCTCCGTGATGCGACCCAGCCCGGTCTTGGGGATGTGGTTGCCGTAGAGGAACTGCTGCTCGAAGGAGGGCTTCACCCACACCTTGTACTGGGCGTAGGGCGCCAGGTAGTAGAGCGCCGTGATGTGGAACTTCAGCTTGTTGGTCTTGGAGAACTTGCCGAAGCAGGTGCCCACGCAGACCAGCTGTTTGTAGCCGAAGCACTCGCTCAGCTTCAGGATCCTCTCGGAGACGTAGTAGACCCGATCGCGGTGCTCCCGAAAGCAATATGTTCCATCCGGGCGGTCGATCAACTGCTTCACGTTGCTGCCAATGCTGTAAGTACACTTGTTAGCTGCTTTCTGCTGGTTACTTCAGTTTACCCACTATTTGGAGAGGTGCTCGAACAGGATCTTGGCACGTTCGTCACTCAGGCGTTTCATCTTAAGTTAATTAAAGCCGAAATGTGGGAAAAACAAAACGTTTAATTTTTACACGTGAGAAATGGCCAGTATTGGGTAGGGCGTAGGATGCGGCAGCTTGCAGCACTGAAAAGTATCGATTACTTTTATCGATAGTTTTCAAAGTGTTGCGTAGCGCCAAATCGAGTGTTGTAAAATGTGCTACTATTTAAATTTAAAATTTTCGGTTAAAATATTGATTGAGGTAAACTTCACCCTCCCCTTTACCACCTCATTACCAAATTAAACTTCTTGCTTACTTTTCTTTTGTTATTATTCATTAATTAAGAATTACACTTATTTGCACGACTTACAAGTACTAATAGTGTTTGTGCTCTGGCTAATACTACACGATTTGTTCACGACCTATTTACAATACCATAAATAACTAAAGCAAACACTTAGACTAAGCTATTTGTATCACGTGTTGAGATGGAGATGGGGAGCTCAAGCCGTCTCCAGGCGCTTCTGAACGTATTGCCGCTCCTTCAGCAGCTCATCTAACTGCTGCTCCTGGTAGTAGACCACGAACTGGGCCGCCGACACTTGCTCGAAAATGGAGCAGATACTCGGCTTGAGGTTGTAGAAGAAGAGCAGTTGTCCCCGTTGATTGAAGTCGCTGATCAGCGAGTCAATCACCGTGGCCGTTGTGAAATCAGCCCCGTAGACATGCGAGGCGTCTATGACCACGGGGACATTTTGTCTAATGGACTGTTTGTTCACAAGATTCCTCACATAATCCACCGAGGGAAAGATGAGGCACCGATCGGGCGTAATCATGGAGTACTCCACACCGGACTGTGTAGTCAGGAGCTCGGTGGTCAGCTTGGGTCGCGCTGCGTGGTAGAGAATGAAGATGACATTGAGTCCCACTCCAATGAGGATGCCCCATTCGAGAGGCAAAACGAGACAGGCCACAAAGGTTCCCACTCCAGGCACCAGATCGCTTTCTGCAAGGTTTTAAAGTATCATTAGATCAGTAATCCTTAATTTTTCAGGTTTTAAGACTTACTTTTCGATCTCCACATGGGCTTCACCACCTTGACTTCAATCATGAATACCACCGCTGATATAATGATGGCTGCCAGGGTGGGTCGTGGTATAAAGTAGAAATAGGGCGTGAGAAAGAGCAGGGCAATCATCACCAGACCGCCGGAGTAAATGTTGCTCAGCGGTGTCCGCACCCCACTGGCATTATTCACAGCTCCCCTACTCAGAGCTCCTGTTCCCGGGAAGGCCTGGACAAAGGAGTTGAAGATATTGGCCGTTCCAATGGCAATCAGCTCCTGCGAGGCATCCACCGGCTTGCCATTTGCTAAAACAGGATGAACCATTAGCAAAAAATACATTATAAATTATTAGAATCACTCACCGAAAGCCTTGCAAATGGCAATGTTTTCCATCAGCGAGATCAGGGGAACCACCACCAGGCCGGAGCCCAGGCTGTGCACCATCTCCACGAATCCCTGAGCCACTCCGTTGCTGGTCTCGTTGGCGCTCAGCGAGGTGGGCGGCAACTGGAGGCTGGGCAGCCCGGGTGGGATATCGCCCACCACACGGAACGGAGCTCCATGCTCCTCGCTGTGCAGGAGATAGCCCATCAGGCAGCAGACCACCACCAGGATGGCATTCCGGGCAGTGCCCACGATCCAAAGGATCTTGTTGACGACTCGCTGGAAGGCCGAGCACTCCGCCTCGTCGGCTGGTCCGATACGGCAGGAGGAGAGACTGCGCATGAGCAGCAGGACCACAATGCACGTGAGTCCCAGCACAGTGTCACCTGCTCGCGTGTGCTCGATATTGTGGAAGACCTGCGTCCAGATCTCCACGAATGTGTTGCCCTTGGCCGTGATGCCCAGCACACTTTGGATCTGCGACGTGAGGATGATCAGCGAGACGGCGGAGGTGAAGCCCGAGGAAACTGGCCCAGAGACAAAGTCAATGAGGAATCCCAGTCCAAAGAGGCCCATCAGCAGCTCCACAATCCCGCTGAGCAGGCACAGCAGCACCGACTTCTGCCACGATCCCTGGGCCGCCTGGTAGGTGAGCAGGGCCACAATTGCCGAAGGACCCATGGGCACGTCCTTGCAGCTGCCCAGGAAAATGTACACGAAGCAGCCCACAAAGGAGGCATACAAGCCATACTGAAAAGGGGAAATTTGTGTGAATAATTGGATTAAAATTTTCAATTAATTATTAAAATTTTGAATTGAATTGAATTATTGAATAAATAAATAAATTTTCTACACAGAAAAAAAAAATTTAAAAAAAAAAAAACCTATATGATTAATGTCAAATTTATGATTTAAACATATCAACATATCATATTTTGTCATTTCATAAAAATTATATGGCATACAAGCCATACTGAAAAAGATATTAAAATTTGCAATTAATTATGAAATTCAATGAAATATGTGATTCATTTTCTACACAGAAAAAAAATTCGGCATAAAATAAGGTCATCTCTACCTTATTTCATATCAAGAAAAAGCCGATATGAATAATGTCAAATTTATGATTTAAACATATCAACTTGATATTTTATCATGTCATAAAAGTTATAAAAATACTGCTTTAAAATACCATATTTAGTATTTATTAAAAAAACACTGTAAAATAAGGTACAAATAATATTCATTCATATCAAAATGATAAGAACTTGACCTTAAAAAAATATTAAATTACCCTGCACATATGTACTTACGGCAACTGGTAATCCGGCTATTCCCGCGTAGGCCAGCGCCTGTGGAATGACCGTGAGGCCAACGGTGATTCCGGCCACCAGGTCGCCCACTGCATCCTGGCTGTTGTACTTGGGCAGCCAGGAGAGGATGGGCAGTCTCTTGTGCAGGGTCTTCCGGTTGAAGGTGCGTCGCTGGCAGTCCTGCAGCCAACTGCGGGTGCAGTCCAGTGTGCTCACCGGGGGTTTCACCTTCTTGCCGTCCTCGGTCACTGAAAAGGTCAGCAGAAAATGAAGAGAACTTAAGCATGTGTGCCGGAAATCAAAAGAGAGTTAATGAAATGGCTAAAATGCCTACAATAACAGTACTGATTCATAATCACGTACTGCAGAGCACCACGCTCGATCGACTTTGCTGGTTCCCACCCTCCCATATTATTTCTGTTGGCTTTCTGCTGTTGTAATTGCCTCAGTTTTTCATTCTGATCTACGTGAATTTCATTGCCAAGGCCCAAGCAAAAGTTTAGCCACTGAGAAAACGTGGAAACAATTGCATTTATCTCCGACTGGAGAGCACGAGGCGTATACTTGATGCACCGAGTTTTGTTTTTTTCGCTTGCCAGAAAAATTCGCTGAATTCCAGTACTTTAATTGCAGCTAACAGGGAACTAATTATGAAATCAAATTGTTGTTTGCAGCACAAGTTCTAAATTAAGTAAGCAGTTAAATAGATTTAAAGCCCTATATGTATTGGCTCTCGTGATTCAGACAAATCACTGCCGTAGAATCATTACTTTAATTTGATTTTATAGTTCATAATTTACCAGCTAATGGCCAAAATTGTGAAAGCTATTCAAGTCACTTAAGTAAGCTAACGTTACTTGTAAAAAATATAAATAAATCAACGATATTTGCTAGTCTCTAATTTGTATTGTCCCATTTGCATTGTTTAGTAAAATGAACTGTGTTACAAGCGTACTTTTAAAAGTTATTGTCTCATGTCTTTTGTGTTAATTTATAATTCCTAATTTCTTTGTGAATGCACAAGCTCTATTAAATAAAATAAATATTTCAAAAACTTGACAAAAATGAATAACTGTCGAGTTTTTGTAATATTGATTTTACAGTAAAAAAAAAGTGAAGACTAAATTAAAAAATTTTCATTTGAGTTAACCTTACTCTTCCCTTAACACCGTACTTTTAACAACGCTAATAGG